ACACATGTACCATACTTGGATATTCGAGGACCATTGTTTCAATGCTAGCTAAGACCTTGCTGCTTTCTCAAAACCACCTTAGGGAGCCAAGACCCTACTGTATTAGGGACATTGGCTGTGTGATTTGTGCAAATCTTTTCGGATCTGGGCTAATCAGTAGGCAACAAAATACTCATATTCAGATATTATACTTCATGAAAATTACAAATAAGAAAAATTATATTTATTGTCGTCTAAAAAATATGAATACGATACGATATGGGTACAACGATAAGAAATAAAAAATATATTTTAAAATTACAAATACGTTTAAAAAATATCAAACACATATTTACAAATATTCAAGAAATATCGATATTGAATACTTATGCAGAAATATATATACTTTCTAAAATGCTAGGCGATTATCAAAACACTCATATTGATTATTGAGTTACACAATAGACCTATGACCAGTCACACAACAACCATCTTGTCGTGAGCGCGATCCATAAGATCATTTTTATAACTTTTTAATTGTGATAAAAATGGTCTAATTTTGTTAAGCATCAAAGGAAATGACCTGTTTAACCACAAGAAAGACAATGGAATGGTATAATGAGCGTCACATGGCATCACTTTTGAGAAGCATTTGAGTGGGTATTTGAGTACTTGCAATTTATCTTTTGTTTTAATCACCCTATACATCGGAAGTGAGGATGGAGGGAATGAAATAGTGGACATCCCTTTTAATAAACACTCATAATGACCTCTCAATAAGAGAGATGAATTAGAATTACCTTTCTTTGACTTCTTCATAGTCAGTCCGTCCTCTCTGGATCTCCCTCCCCCAAATTTGGCTGATTACCTGTTAATAAAATACTAATAAATTAAGTGTAATTTAATTTAACTTTTGATCAAAGTTGGACCACCGACTCTAACCCTTTACACCTAATTTCAACGAACTTATTTATTTGATGTGTTTTGTATTTTTAATTTCTTTTTTTTTTTTTTCCCAAAGCCTTATTGGTTGTTCAACATTTACCATATGATTAGTGTCCATGCCTCTATTATAGAGCCCCACTTTTGTTTTGTTTTTTTTTTAAATTTAATCCTCGCAATGACAAATTGACCAACATCACTAATAAGTGATCGGTGAGTGACCATAATATCTTCTATTCAACTTTTTCTTTTGTCATCTCTTCCACTTTTTTAAAATATTACACACACACACTTATATATATATATATATATATATGTTACTTTGTAAAAATGGCTTATCCTAATTTTAGTCACGTATCACGAGTAATCATCAACCTATGGGAGTAGGGGAAGAACAACACAATCCCAAGTCTATAAAAAACACTATTTCCTTAAGATATCACTTTCTTGGTGATTGTGTCATTTAGGACATAGGTCCTGTAATTCTCATGTGGGCTATTGAAATACTAGAAAAAAAAGGAAAATTACTGTTTTGGGGCACACTCCATTTCTTTTTTGTCTAAAATAATTAAACAATAATAATGGAAATTTGGGGTTTTGCAGTATTTAAAAGGCTGCTTATCTTGTGAAATGATCTTTGTAAGTTGACAATGTTCTTGCTCCTTTTACTATGGACTGTTTTCAGGTCTTGGTTGGGTATGTTAGGTAAGGGGAGCTTTAAACTAAGAATTGCGTGAAAAATTATCCGATTTGATTGTCACAGTGTTGACTGCAAAGTAGACAATTTCACTTTTGGTGGAACTCTAATGAATGGTGAAAAAGTAACTATGGAGAGTTTAATTATTAGATAAATTTAACTAATTTTAGGTGAGTGTTGGTTAATGTGTGACGGCTTTAAGAATATTAATGATATCATAACAAGACATAGTTCTGGTTTATATAAATAATGATAGAGAAGTGAGAAGAAATGAAATGTTAACAAACAAACTGTTATTATACTTTTAAATTAGATGGGACATAAATGAAATAATAATTTTTTCTTTCTAATTGTTAAGGACAATTTTGAGATTATAAAAATATTACTTAACTCACTATTATTTCTCTCCAAATCATCTCATTTTTAAGTGCATATGAGGAATAGCTCTTTTTCAATCTTTTTCATTCTCTCCATTTAGAATTTTAGACTACCCAAACACCCATCACACTACCCTTTCCAGTTTTTTCCCTCCAAATCACTCAATCCAAACGGACCCTAATAATAATCATGTTTGGGGAAAAAAAAGGGACGGAAACTAATGTATTGAATTTATAACCATATCCTTTTTCATAGAATTTTTCTCTTATAGATATAAGGGCAAATTTGGAATTAATAAAATTTCATCAAAAATATGAACTTTTCTTCCATTTCCTTCCATTTTTAAAAAGATAATAAAAGTTACTGTTTATGCTTTAGTCTTTCCTTCCAAACTCCTCAATTCCCTCTCCTTTTTAACCAACATTTTATACCAAACACAACTTTTTATTTTCTTCTATTTCTTTTCCCCATTTTGATTGTACCAAACTGAGCCTAAATAAATGGTGAAAAAGTAATGACGGAGAATTTGACAATTTACTTAATTTTATTTAAGTTTGGATTAACATCATCATGATCATAAAAATATTAATAATATCGTGAAGATAATAATTTTTATCCACAAAAATTAACCTGAATTGTATTACTTGTGTGCTTCCAATCATCATCCATGACAAAACCACTGTGATTGTCGAATGAAAGGCTCGGCACCACCAACCTAAATAAAAACAAAAAAATTATGTAACAAATTTTCTTGACGTACCTAACATGTGAGACTTCAGTAACACAAGACGTGAATCTTTAATTCTTTAAAATCTCTGTATCAACAACCATAGGGGACTAACAATGAAATTCAACAAGTCAATCAAATATTAGGAGTTGAAGTCACAAGTGGTAACATAAATGATCTGAATATCAGACCATAGAATGGCCCACAAAATTGAATCATACGAATGAATGAACATATACAAGCCATTGTATACGACATCAACTGAAAGAACAAAGACAGTATCGAGTCAGATTGAACTTTCTTCATGGTTTTTTTAACCGTTTTCCATTTTCAGGGTTACACAATTCTGTATATCTTGTCAAAGAGAGTCGTTGGGATTGATCTCTTCGATCCCATTAGCACACCAAAATGGAGCCATGGGGTCCTAACTTCTTCACCTAGCTTTTCTCACTTCATTACACAATCTGGCCACATATATTCAGAGACTTCTTGGATCGTACAACAAGCTAAACTCCAAATGTGTGCAATCACTCACAAATTACGCGCATAATTCCGTTTTGATGTCTGGTTGTTAAAAAATATTTTTGAAAAATAAAAATATTAAAATTTAACAAAAATAACTTACTCATTAATTTTTTACAAATTATTTTATGCGCCCCACTCGATGGACTTGAACTCAATATCCACTTATACTTTTACCAAATACCGAAAATATATATATATATTTTATCTAAAAAAATAAAATCTTTCTTAAAAAAAATATTTTAGGTCAACACAAATGGAGCCTTAAATTCAAATATTTTTGCAATTTTTAAAAATCGAACCAAGAACGCGAATTTACAATTTGTCTCAACAGACTCTTTATTCACTAGACCGCCGGAAGGTAGCACAGAGCTAAATTCTTAATTTTTTTTCCATACATCCATATATATATATATATATATTTGAGAATTTCTTAAGATAATTGGCTTTTGAAGCAGAAAGCTCAAGGAATATGCAGTCCAAGTCATTGCTTTTAGAAATCTCAGTTACTTTCACTCTTTTTTCAGGCAAAACATAGCTGACTCACTGACCTATGGCTTATGTTTTTATACAACAAAGGCGTGATTAAAGTAGCTCACCTCTGACTCACGCCTTATATATTTTTAATTAGCTTCTTTACTTATTAAGTAATATATCTTGCTTAATTTAGTTGAGCTCCACAGTAACCGTACTCTTATTCCCACAAATCAAAACCTTGAACTTAGAATTAAGTGTGGTTGTTATATATATATATACATATATATATATATATGCATACATATATATTTTCAAGGATTCGCTGTCAAGTTCTGTAAAGAATCAAGTTCGGAGGAATCCCCAGATTTGACCACGATTTTCTGACAAATTAGCCAAATTCTGCTTAAAAAGTTGGAGGATTTTGGACAAAATGTAGTGGAGATTTCATCATACTCGAACTGTTTCTAATTATCAAAGGACGCAATAATTGAACTTGGCACTTTAATCTCTAGCTGTTTTAAGGATAAAATCAGTACTAGTTATTTACCCCCAAACAAAACTGAAAATTTTAAGGGTTTCTTCTTTTCATGAAAGTTGTGAAATCAAGATCATAATGAAAGGGGAAAAAAAAAAGTAAAAATACAAAGACTTGATGTAAAACCTTCTTTCACCGGCCGCCGGGGAGGGGGGGTAATTTTTCTTATTTTTAATTATATACCTATAAAATTTTCACTTTATCCTCTCTAAAATTACACTAAATTCAGTTTCCACTTAAATTCTTTTTAAGTGTTTTCTCACCTGCACCACAAATTTTAAGCTTTTGTTTGGTACGTGTTTTGTTTTAATCCTTAAAAATATATATATATTTTATTATATGGTGTTTTGAATGATAATAAAAAACATGTTTAGTAATATCTATTTGATGCAAAAAAAATTAAAATTAAAAAATAATAATAATAAATTAAAGCAAAATCATAAAAATATAATAAGTATTTGATAAAAAATAAAAATAAATAAATAAAGTGTGTAGATTTTACCAATAATAAAACGCGGCCACAGTCTGTATATAAAGATTTACCAAGGATTAAAAAAATTCAAATTATATTCGAGTCACTTCACATGTGTACCATAAACACATACACCGGTTTGGGTTAAAAATGGGACTTTCTTCTACAAGCTCTAACAATTTAACTTCTAAAAAGAAGCCAAATGCTCTACATTTTTTAAAGAAAGAAAAAGAAAATACTATATGGTGTAATACTTAGAATATAATTTCAATCGCAATTCGAACAAGTTTTGGTCAAAAACCCAACTTTCACACAGTATTCTTTGTCGGGGCGAAAGTTCTCTCTTTTTCTCTCTCTAATTCTTCTCTCTCTAGGCTTCTGCTGTGTGTGTTTTGCACAAGAAGCAACTGAAGAAACCACCCGACTGTGAAAAAAAAAATTCCACAGTTTGTTCCCGCTTCGAGTTATGTCGAAGAAATGAGAGTAAAATCTAGAGAGAGAAGTGAAAAAGTTGCAAGAAAAACCGAGCTCCAAAGTTTTAGAGAGACAAAGATAAAGAGGTTTTAATTTGTCTGTAATTGCAAAAGCAATGTCACAAGATTCTGAGGAGATTAAGACGATTGAGCAGTGGAGATGGTCTGAAATGCAAGGTCTTGAACTTGTGTCACCTCACTCTGACACCTCCTTTAAAACCAACCCAACAACAACAACAAACCACCAAGAGAACTCATTTAAAGCCAACCAAACAACAACATCGACAACAACACAACCAAATATAGCATCATCAACACACACAGTCACAGAACAAGAACAAGCAAAGGTGGGTGAAGAGAAAATGGAGGTTTCTCCAGGAAAGAAGCCTGGTTCTGCTCCACCCTCATCTGGGTTTGGTGAGCTTTTCAGATTTGCAGATGGGTTGGACTATGTTTTGATGGCAATTGGGTCTGTTGGTGCCTTTGTCCATGGTTGTTCTTTGCCTCTGTTTCTGAGATTCTTCGCCGATCTTGTTAATTCTTTTGGGTCGAATGCCAACAATATTGATAAAATGACACACGAAGTTATAAAGGTGTGTATTACATATACACACACACACACACATATATATATAATTCCTAATTATATTCATAAGCTTATTGTTATGGTTATTTAGATCTCTAGGCTACTGATAATGTTCATTTTTCTTCCTGAATTTGCAGTATGCATTTTACTTTCTTATAGTTGGAGCTGCAATATGGGCGTCTTCATGGGCGGGTGATTTCTCTCTCTCTATATATATATATGGAATGTAGAATCTACAATCTTACCATATGGGTTTTGATTTTGGGTGTCAATTTGTGAGTGTTTTTTACTGAAATTGGAAGAAACTCAAACTGGTTGCAGAGATTTCCTGTTGGATGTGGACAGGAGAGCGGCAATCGACGAAAATGAGGATCAAGTACTTGGAGGCGGCTTTGAACCAAGACATTCAATACTTTGATACAGAGGTCCGAACGTCGGATGTTGTTTTCGCCATTAACAATGATGCAGTGATGGTTCAAGACGCCATTAGCGAGAAGGTGAAGAAAAGAGGAAGAAACAAACTTTTGATGTTTTTGCTAATTAGTGTCTGAATGGGTTTCTTTATTTATTGTTTTAATTGCTGCAGTTGGGTAATTTCATACACTATATGGCAACATTTGTGTCTGGATTTGTTGTGGGTTTCACTGCTGTGTGGCAATTAGCTCTGGTCACACTTGCTGTTGTTCCTCTCATTGCTGTAATTGGGGCAATTCACACCACCACATTAGCCAAACTCTCTGCCAAAAGCCAAGAAGCTCTGTCACACGCCGGAAACATTGCAGAACAGGTGACAGAAGTTGATGATTTCTAAAGTTTGTGTATTTCCTTTTTGTTGGGGGACTGAAAATGGACTTGATTCATAGTAAATTCTCTGTTTTCTCATCTGGGCAACGCCCATTTCAATCCAAATTGCAGACAATAGTTCAAATTCGGACGGTTCTGGCATTTGTAGGTGAATCAAGAGCACTTCAAGCCTACTTGTCAGCATTAAAGGTTGCTCAAAGAATCGGTTACAGGAGCGGATTTGCAAAGGGAATGGGACTGGGAGCGACTTACTTCGTTGTCTTTTGCTGCTATGCACTTCTGCTCTGGTATGGTGGTTATCTGGTTAGACACCACTACACTAATGGAGGACTTGCCATTGCCACAATGTTCTCTGTTATGATTGGTGGATTGTAAGTACTCCTGTTACGCTAGTCCAATTTGTTGTTATCTCCTATTGAAGCTCATTAGCTCAACGATAATATCTTTTGGTTGCAGAGCTTTAGGACAGTCGGCTCCAAGCATGACTGCATTTGCCAAGGCCAAAGTTGCAGCTGCAAGAATCTTCCGTGTAATCGATCACAAAGCGAGTGTTGATCGAAACAGTGAATCAGGTTTGGAGATGGACTCCGTTACAGGACAAGTAGAGTTGAAAAATGTTAATTTCTGCTACCCATCAAGGCCAGAAATTAAAATTCTTAACAATTTCTCTCTAACCGTCCCTGCCGGAAAGACCATAGCTTTGGTTGGAAGCAGTGGCTCAGGCAAGAGCACTGTGGTTTCTCTGATTGAGAGATTCTATGATCCTATATCAGGTAACGTTACAGACAAATATCATTCTATTTGATAAAGTGATGCTATATACGGCTACAGAATTAATATATTTTATAGTAGATAGAGTAAATGCATGTCTGCTATTAGAAGTTATTTCTGCTGCTGAGTTCATGTAGTCCATGTGGGTATGTTTGTGCATAATTGTGTTAGTTACAGAATGAAATTTTCTGTTAATAATAGAAGCTATGCAGGACAAGTTCTATTGGATGGGCATGACATAAAGACAATAAAGCTGAGATGGCTGAGGCAGCAAATTGGGCTTGTGAGCCAAGAGCCTGCTCTGTTTGCTACCACCATTAAAGAGAACATACTCTTGGGCAGGCCTGATGCAACTCTAGTTGAGATCGAAGAAGCTGCCAGAGTTGCCAATGCACATTCATTCATTGTCAAACTTCCTGATGGCTACGACACGCAGGTAAGCTAATTCAAGACATTAACTTAGCATTATTGGTAAAGCAAATGGCAATCAGCAACCTTACAAGTTATTTATATGTACGTTACATGGTTTGATTTATCCAGTTTAAGGATCTCAAAAGAGGCATTCCAAAATTTAGAGTCAATCGATTGGTTAAAATAAAAAAATAAAATCCTAAGCAAATAATTGGTTGGTAAAATTATATAATAAAAGAGTGGTTTGCGAAGGTTGGGAGGTTCGGTTGGTTAGTATCTGTAAGGTGAAAATAGTCATGAATCTTGAACAGAGGAGGGGCCAAATTTGTTAGGTTTTTAGTGGTTTCTAATTGCTAGTTTTATATACTACTAAACTTGATGGCTTATTTAGTCAACAAACAAACCCAACCATTTTTTATAGTCAGTGTGGGGAGGTGTTTGGTCATGCATTTAAAAAAGCTACAGTCAACACATCATGTGCAGGTGTAAATTGGGATTTGTATATTCATGCAGAAAGAAAGACATATAAATGAAATAGAATTGAAGATATTAAAATGGAGGGCCTGTAAGGTTCGTCAATGATCATATAAATAAGAATAACCCCACAAGGGCAAGTTGGAAAAACAAAAACGATGGAAAGTGAAGAGCATCTAGGGTACGTTGGAAGGTTTTTATAATAAGAACAAGACAAAATTTATTAACTATGACAATTTATGGAACTCACAGTAGGTAGAAGGGGGTCCCGGGTTTACGGTGAGGACGAAATAGATGACGATAAATTGACATGGAAAGTCGCAGACAATGGGTTAGAAACAAAAAAATTAGTTAAGGAAAATTTGGTCAAATGTGAAGTAACTTTTTATTTCTAATCAGAAAACAAATCTCTCTGATTGTCATTGTTTAGGGGAGGTATGCCTCTTCTTGATAGCCATGTACTGAATTGTTTTATCTTCAACACAGTCATCTCACTTAGATTTACTCCTTGTATCATGCTTTAGATTAAATGACATCCTTTGTCCAATTGCTATAATATTTATAAAAGGAAAAAGAAAGAAAGATAGAAATAACTTGTCTCAGTTCCAATCTAATTTTGTTATAGGAATCCAAGTTATCATTTCTTTTCCAGTGTTTTCTCGGGAACTAAATGGATGTCATGAAACTTTTGGGGGATTGATGAAATCACAGTTAAACATGCAATAGACTAAAACCAATTGAAAATGGCAGGTAGGGGAGAGAGGATTGCAACTCTCAGGTGGGCAGAAGCAGAGAATAGCTATAGCAAGGGCAATGCTGAAAAACCCAGCAATCCTGCTTTTAGACGAGGCAACAAGTGCATTGGACTCGGAATCAGAAAAGCTAGTACAAGAGGCTCTTGATCGATTCATGATTGGGAGGACAACACTTGTCATTGCCCACCGCCTCTCCACCATCAGGAAGGCTGACCTTGTGGCTGTACTCCAGCAGGGTAGTGTCACTGAAATTGGAACCCACGATGAGCTATTTGCCAAGGGAGACAATGGTGTCTATGCCAAGCTCATCCGATTGCAAGAAATCGCTCATGAAACTGCTCTCAATAACGCCAGAAAGAGTAGTGCAAGGTAACTTCACCAACTTTAGATATCCACTATGAAACCTCAAAATTTTGTTGTATTATTCGTATTCCTAAAAATCCTGAAATCATGATGCAATGTTATACGCTGAACTGATCGTCTGTTGCTTAACACGGTTCTTCCTTTGCAGGCCTTCTAGTGCCAGGAACTCAGTAAGCTCACCAATAATTGCCCGAAACTCCTCATATGGTCGATCACCATATTCACGCCGGCTATCTGACTTTTCTACTTCTGATTTTAGCCTCTCCCTGGATGCCTCACACCCCAATTATCGACTTGAAAAGCTTGCATTCAAGGAGCAAGCTAGTTCCTTTTGGCGCCTTGCAAAAATGAACTCTCCTGAATGGGCTTATGCTTTAGTTGGTTCTATAGGCTCTGTTGTTTGCGGCTCCCTCAGTGCCTTTTTCGCTTATGTTCTGAGTGCTGTCATGAGTGTTTACTACAATCCAGACCATGCTTACATGAGCAAAGAAATTGGAAAATACTGCTATCTTTTAATCGGGGTTTCATCTGCTGCACTTCTTTTCAACACACTACAGCATTTCTTCTGGGATGTCGTGGGAGAAAACCTAACAAAACGAGTGAGGGAGAAAATGTTGACAGCAGTGCTGAAAAACGAATTGGCATGGTTCGATCAGGAAGACAACGAGAGCTCTAGAATTGCAGCCAGACTGGCTCTTGATGCCAACAATGTTAGATCAGCCATTGGAGACCGCATTTCAGTAATCATGCAGAACTCGGCTCTCATGCTAGTTGCCTGCACTGCAGGGTTTGTTTTGCAGTGGCGCCTGGCCCTGGTCCTCATAGCCGTCTTCCCAGTTGTTGTAGCAGCCACTGTTTTACAGGTTTGTTTTTTCAGTCCTTAAAACATTCATATTGATAAATCATGGGGAAGCCAGTGGCAAACTGTTACATTAACAAAATGAACATTATTACCAAACTAATGTGTTTATAATGCTTCTTGAAAGTCATATATTATGTAATCTAGGTCAAATGCAGAGAATTTTGTCGCACTGCTACAGTTTGAATCCTAATATTTACTTCTTTTTTTTTGTTGTATTTTCAACAGAAAATGTTCATGAAAGGTTTCTCGGGGGACCTAGAAGCTGCACATGCCAAAGCCACACAATTAGCAGGTGAGGCTGTGGCCAATGTAAGAACTGTCGCTGCCTTCAATTCAGAATCCAAAATAGTCAGTATTTTCTCCGCCAACCTGCAAAGTCCACTACGGCGTTGCTTCTGGAAGGGACAGATTGCTGGAAGTGGATTTGGGATAGCACAGTTCTTACTTTATGCTTCCTATGCTCTTGGTCTTTGGTATGCCTCCTGGCTCGTAAAGCATGGGATCTCTGATTTCTCAAAGACAATACGAGTTTTCATGGTCCTAATGGTCTCTGCCAATGGTGCAGCAGAAACACTGACCCTGGCCCCTGACTTCATTAAGGGTGGTCGAGCCATGAGGTCAGTCTTCGACCTCCTTGACCGCAGAACTGAAATTGAGCCAGATGATCCAGATGCCACCCCAGCACCTGACCGCCTTCGAGGGGAGGTGGAGTTCAAGCATGTAGACTTCTCTTATCCCTCTCGCCCTGATGTGCCAATTTTCCATGACCTAACTCTTCGTGCACGAGCTGGCAAGACTCTTGCCCTTGTAGGTCCTAGTGGGTGTGGCAAGAGCTCAGTCATTGCCCTTATTCAGCGATTCTATGAACCATCGTCTGGGAGGGTCATGATTGATGGGAAGGACATTCGAAAATACAATCTCAAGTCAATGCGAAGACATATTGCCGTTGTCCCTCAGGAGCCATGCCTCTTTGCTACAACCATTTACGAAAACATTGCTTATGGGCATGAGTCTGCAACTGAAGCTGAGATCATTGAAGCAGCAACTCTGGCAAATGCCCACAAATTCATATCATCATTGCCAGAAGGTTACAAAACATTTGTTGGGGAGAGGGGAGTTCAATTGTCTGGGGGACAAAAGCAAAGAATTGCAATTGCCCGCGCTTTCATTAGGAAGGCAGAGCTAATGCTGCTGGATGAAGCCACAAGTGCGCTTGATGCCGAGTCCGAGAGGTGTGTACAAGAGGCTCTGGAGCGTGCTTGCTCAGGAAAAACCACAATTGTGGTTGCACACCGGCTATCGACAATAAGAAACGCTCATGTCATTGCTGTGATAGAAGACGGAAAAGTGGCAGAACAAGGTTCCCACTCACACCTTCTGAAAAACTACCCTGATGGGTGTTATGCGCGGATGATACAGTTACAAAGGTTCACACATGGGCAGGCGGTGAATATGGCATCAGGTTCAAGTTCATCAGCGCGCCCCAGAGAAGATGAGGACTGAGAAGGCTAGTGAGGGGGAAAAGAAAAGAAAAGAAAAGAAAAAAATCCACCACTAAAGAGGAGTATAGCTCTTATACTCCTTGATTATTTTTGTTTTCTGTTTTTGGTATAGTTTAGTTTTATGTGTATTATCTAAATTTACCATAGTATATGTCCTCATTCTGATTGATCTTCTAGTTTTCTTTTTCAATCTTATTCTTGATTCCCTAATGAGAAATACTTTCTTGAAATTGATGTAGATATATGTATCTATACATCTAAGTAAATTAAAGAGAAAGCAAATAGTGTCTGCAATAGACATTAACAAACATCACCATCTAGCATCTTAACAATTAATGGAAGAGAATCAGAGATGGGATATTAGGCGCGGCAAAGCCCTGGACCATATATTGAGTTTCCGACAAGATTATGCATCGCAATCTATACATGATGGACTGAATGGTGACAGGATTGAAACCTGTGGATCTTGGTTGTGTCTGGGTATCATTGTGTTTAAGATGACAGCGATTGTGGATGTAGAAAAGGAAACAACAACATTATTGAGTTGGGTTCACGGGGTGGTTGCGCATGCAAACGAGCCTCAAAAAAGACAGATGACAACATCAAATAACTGATGAGTGAAAAAGAAACAGGACAAAGGGAAGGGAAAGGAAAATAATCATTCATATAAACCAAAGGGAAGGGAAGGGAAAGGAAAATAATCATTCATATAACCTTATGCTAGTGGCTGGTTGTGGTTGTGGTTGTGGTGGTGGAGTTGCATGAAGAAATGGTCATGGAAAATGACAGGAATATGATGTTTGATGATGGGTTCTATTTGTGTGGGTAGGCCCTGCCTTATCTCTTTATTATTTGTAAGGATGTGAGTGGCGCCATTAACGGATTGGTTTTATTGGCACCAGTGGTGATCAGTGAATAATTTCTTGCATCTGCATTGAAAGTGAAGACTAGCATTCGACACACAATAACACCTACCTTTGTATATAATATATATATATATATATATATAAGTGATAATTTACTAGTTTTAATCTCTCATTGCTTTGTGATGGATGCTTCTCAATTAACAAGGATTTCCATTTTAGGTGGACATTTGACTTTGAGCTAGGGTTTGTTAGTAACGACTCTTATCGTAGTTTAAATAAATTAAAGGTTATTATCCAATGTCGGTCTAATCCGATACGATGTTGCAGATGACCTAGACCCAATATTATTCCTGCGCAATGCCATTGTTGGATCATGATTTTATTTTATTCCAAATATATATTTGTGTGTGTATATTATATATCAACCTGTATTTTATTCCAAATACCATAGGAGTCGTTTAGGATGTTGAAAGAAAGACCAGAGACAGACTTCTTAGGTTGATTTTTCCAATACTAATCAAATCAACAAGTACCGAAAATTCAGCAACATAAAACTTTAAACTGTTATTCAACATTTCAACTAAAATGCAAGTTGTAGACTTTTTATAATCTAAAACCTAACAATAACCATGAAAACGGACACGCTAGCAGGGAGTGAACCCAACTAATATAAATATAAATTTTTATTTGTATTAATTAAATCAATTATAGAGCTTTAATTAATTTTTAATTATTTGCACTAAAGTTACTTGAGATAGAAGATGGAGCCATTTGAATATAAAAACTAAATTATAATACATGAAATTACTCTCCTATCTTATACATTTGTTTATTAGTGTTTAGTGAATTTTAAAGAAAAAGAAGTGTCCAAAATGTGTAGATAAAAATTATTTTAGAAGTGCTCGTGCTTCTAATAGCCTAAAGCACAACCCCAAATTGAGGGGAAAATTAGCAACAGCACATTGCTTCAGTGAACAGCAATTTGCCAATAAAGCAAAACAATATATGTTCCCTATGATAACTGGGTTCATGAATTATGGTCAACAAACAATATGGGCTGCAAGACACATTGATCCAAGTTTCATGATTACCTTATCCAATGCGAAGAGTATTTCCGCGGCCGAATCCACTTTGAATTTGATAAATGCATTGCTTGTGAAGTATGTGTTCGCGTATGTCCTATAGATCTACCAGTATTCGCAGATTCTACAAACACTGGTGCTTCAAGGTATTTTAACATGCATTATACCGTGACAAGATAAACACATACATTGAGTATACTGGGCAGAAATTTGATTTGGAACTAGCTGGTCTGACATGACTTTTAACTGTGACAAGATATAGTCTTCTTTCATAAGGGTAAGGGTAACGCGAAATATCACTTTTACAATACCATTTTAAACAAAAATCTTCCAGTATCAAGAGACTAATCCGCAGCTCACTTAACATGCATAACATTTATCCATAGAAGAACCAAACGCCGGAAGCTCACATCGACATTAGTTTTGGACCATTGTCTGGCATCCCCATCCCAGCAGCTACATCGGCGTCAAGTTGAGTGTGTGGTGCAGGACCCATCATTTGCTTCACACTGCATCAAAAAAGTGGTGTCATTTAATATCCTATCCACTTATGTATAATATATGAATGCGAACTAGGGAAATATATATATATGTGTGTGTGTGAATGCATAAATGAGAAGGTGAAGATGGCAAACCCAGGCCTTTGAGACATGAACCCAGGATGGATACAAAATTACAAATCATATTTCTAGCGGAAAATTACTTAAAAAAATTTTAAAAAATTACTATTTCTCACAGGAAATTAAGTTGATGAAAAGAAAAAGGGAAATGTAAGGTGGGTTCTTTTTCCAAGGAAAATCGATATTCTGACTGATGAGCACAACCCGATTCCTCCCTTATGGGATGACAACAGCAGAAATAGCATGTTATCCTTGTGGTTTTGAGCTCAATTGGCCAAAAAAGGTTAACACAAGATCTCCATAAAGAGCTACCACCCCACATGAAATACAATGTAGCAGAAAAGTTCTCCAAGCAAGTCTGGGGCCTGATTGTATTAGGAAATTTCCAAGATCCTTTCACTTTCAAAGGTTTACAAACATGCTGTGCTTACCACCGCCAGCACAGCCACTCCTACCAACCACCCTGTATGGAACTAAAACTAGTAAGAACGCATTTTTTTTAGTGTTTCATTGGCCAAGGAGATCACCAAGCGGATTTCACTACGAACTACTCCTTTACTTTTAGCACCTCCTGCAAAGCTACAACTATTACTACTACAATTCCTCCTCACTCCACACGTGATTGCAACAGCAGTGACTGCAGTGTTCAAACCCTTCACCTTATAATTGAGTATTCACCCACTAAAGTATGATTATTAGAATAAAAGGGGCATGAATTCGCCATTGAGAATATCAAGATCCTTCATTGGGAAAACCTTTTACTCAGACTGGTCACTGGTATCTGCCCCATGTGGACTTACTTAAGTGCTTCTTGTTCCAGTAGTAGTATCACCTCTACAATGACTACTACTAGGAGGTTATCCAAATGCTTTTAGGCTCAATCAGCCAATATTTTTTCACCTATGACCTATGTGGAATCACTTGAATGATTTCAATCCCAGTGGTAAACTAACTTAAGCACTACTAGGAGGTTATCCTAATGCTCTACGCTCAACCAGCCAATACATCCAAGTTAATTTCACCGCCACTACCCACCTAACACAAAATTGGGGAAATGCTGAAACTGTAGTCTTCCAAGTCATACTAGACAAGAAGACTACCAATAATATTTAATTACTACCTAATTTGGGTCTCATGAAATATTTTCTTGGCATTCAAGTACGACAATCCAAAGGAGAAATATGGATTTCTCAAGAAAAATTTATTGAAGACTTGCTAAAGAAGTTGAAGTGGTCTCAGCACTTCATCGATTTTAGTTGAAGTAAACGATTGCTCTCTATCGATTAAGGGGAGTAAGAGGGCCACGTGAATTGATCTTCTTCATTGTGCGATATTGAGTATGCTCAATCTCAGTATGCTAACACGAATCTCTATCGGCTGTAATCTATCCCATCATTCTTGTCTCCCATAGTTACTACTAGTACTAGTACTACAAGTGCTTCTAGGCCAAAATTGGCAATGAGATTACCAAGATCATTCAGCAACAACTACATCAATAAAACTAATAGCTATATTTTTATATTTTTTTTATAAGTAATAAAACTAATAGCTATATTTTTTTATTTTTTTTTATAAGTAATAAAACTAATAGCTAATACTTTTATACAGTTTAAATTGTGGACTAAATGTCATGTGTAATGGACATTAGTAACAGGATGCAGATACAAAAGTGATTATTTTTTGGGTTGCAATGACTCACTAAACACCTACTGATATACATGATTTTACCCTATAATTCCACAAAATCATGTTTCTAATGATTTTCTCAGCAAATTTTATTCAAACTGGTAACAAGATTCAATATTGATCATGAATTATATAAAATACTGGTTTTTGTATCACTACTGGAAAGATATATGTAAAATAATAAATAAATAAATAAAAACTCTCTTTCTTTCATTCTTGAGAATTTCGTGACTGCAAATATTACTATTATATATATATATATAAATAAGAAATAAGGATTACTAATAAATAACTAATATGTCAAAAAATATTCTTATAGTCTCAATATAGCACAAATACATAATACATTGCACCAAATATCAAAAATCTGAAGAAGTCACAAAACAAAAATAAGCAATTTCATAAGAAGTGCTAACTTAAATAACTAATATATCAAAAAATATTTTTAATCTCAATGTAGAACAAATACATAATACATTGCACCAAATATCAAAAAGCTGTTGAAGTTCCACAACAAAAATAAGTAATTTCATAAGTGCTAACTCATATTATAAATTAATCTTTCTCGAGGTTTCGGGGTGAATGGAATTGCACAATTAGATCTCACTTACAAGCATTGATTTTTAAGCTTGGGGAAGTACATTTTCAATCTTTAAAAGTCTTATTTAGTTAAATTCCGCACTTCTAAACTAGAAATGTTTTATTAGAGGTTTACAATTGCGAAAAGACAGAGATATTGAGCAAAAAGTTTTTTCATGATAATAGACACCAAAAAGGCTGCAAAACACGTAACCACAGCGTCACCTGTATCACAACTCACGGGCCAAAGAAGTCACATGCTCAGGCCCACTACCACTACATAGTAGCCAGCAGGCAAACTCAGGCCGCCATCCCCATTTCTCGTCCTTTTCCTTATCAAAGCACTATCTTAGCACAAATATACTTGAAAATGGTCCAATTAAAAGAAAATTTAAAATATAAACAAGTTTTCCAGTTTCTTAAGAAGCCTTATCACTTCTCACTTCAAACCTTCCATATCCATGTTACAACAAAACAATCGCATTGTGTCTAAGATAGTCCTATGAGTGTCCAGACCATGTTGCCTACATATTGCTCAAGTGTTAGAGATCAAAATGGAATATATACATATATGTATATATAATCATTTAAACTCAAGTATACCATCACGCTTTTCACTAATCTTCTACTCGAGTTTCAAAAGGGTTTAGAAGAATTTTTGCAAGAGAGGCCCTCATCGTGACAAAATTGGAAAAAAATATTTCAAGGAAACACCTCATAATTCTAGTAAGATTTGCATCTCATGCAACAATTTGAAAACATGTGCATGTCTCCTGCAAAATTATGAATCAAAATTACAGACAAAAAAAAGTTACTATTTTTCGCATCAATAGGCTGTTTGAGACATCATGAAACAACTAAACAAGGCCAAACTAACGTGCATAATGAAAATCAGATCTGTAAAAAACCATGTTATATTGATTTACAAAAATCCAATTTTCTCCCTTCTAAATCCCGACTTGAACATCCATACTTCTTTCATGCATTTTCTGAACAAGTTAAATTCAAAAAGGGTTAGGTTACCTCAAGCGTCCAGACTTTGGACGCCACAAGGTTTTTTTCTCTTATTATTAGTTTCCACTTTGGCTTTCCTATTTTGAATCTTAGAAATATTTAGAATGTCGAAAACTATCCAGAGCGTTATACCAAATACAATTCTTATTAAGTTGTTAACTAGCAATGACATAAAAGAAATAGCAAGACACTAAAACCATAACATGGGAAATGTTAAGCATGATAAGCTGATGTAAAATACAATAATCCTCATACGCACAACTCAATTAAATGTTAAGTTCCATATTCTTAATGTTATTTGGATTGGCAAGTAATCCCACACGATTAAAGCTACAACAACAATAACAACCCTTGAGCCCAACTACTTGGGGTCGGCTACATGAATCCTATGTTTCCATTCCGTTCTATTTAAAGTCGTGTCTTTGGTCAAACCACTTGCGATCATATCCTTCCTTACTAACTCTATCCATGTTAATTTTGGTCTTCCTCTCCCACTAGTATTACCCTTAATGTGAACTATATAACTCTTCCTAACTGGCGCACTAAAAGGTCTTCTTTGCAAATGACCAAACCATTTTAACATATTTTCTCTCATTTAATCTCCAATTTGTGATACTTCAACCATCTCCCAAATTGTATCATTTCTAATCTTACCGCACATCCATCTCAATATTCGCATTTCTGCCACACTCACTTCATGCATATGTTGTTTCTTAATTGTCCGGCATTCTGTGCTATAAAGTATGGCAGATCTAATATCTATTAGATAGAACTTCCCTTTCAATCGTAAGATAATACGTAAATCACAAAATATACTAGATGCACTCCTCCATTTAACCCATCCTGCTTTGATTCTATGATTAACGTCATCTCCAATTTCTCCTTCATTATGAATAACTGAGCCTAAATAACAAAAATACACACTTTTTGTAGCTCTAGATTCTCAATCCTCAATACATCCTCATTTGTATTTCTATATTTACTAAAGTAACATTCCATGTATTCAATTTTATTTCTACTTATCTTAACCCATTTAATTCTAAAGCTTCTATGTACACCTGCAATTCGGTATTAACCCCACACAACTAAAGCTAAAGCCTTAAAATAAATGCACCCATCAACACTAAAGGTTCAACATCAAATATCTATCGTTCTTAAAACCTTGATGGCATCATAGCCCTCTTATAGTAAATCGTTAAAACCAACCCAATATAATATTCAACTCTATCATTCTTCACTCTATTTACAAAATCTATCATGCTCATTAGTATTTTCATATTTTTATATGGACATGTATGGAGAATGTCAAACCTAACAACAACAACAACAAAAATTAATAACACTATAAATTAGATTAAATAGTTCCTCTGCCGGGTTGAGTTTGGGCAGCCAAAATGCCATTTGGATCCCCAAACATGGCCAAATAAGCCATTTGGCTACGCATGAAATACATTGTGATTAGGTAGCCAAATCACCTAGCTTTCTAAACATGTTCTTCTTCGCCAGTTTAATTTTAGGTTTACTTATTTAAAATATTTCTTTTTAAAATTTTAAATAATAAAAAAATAAAAAAGGTTTCGCAGTAGGGAGGAGTTACTACAGATCATTAAGGTGTTAAAAGTGCTTAGAGCCTCCAAAGGTTTTTTCCTCTTACTGCATTTACTAGTATTTATTGTACTTGGATATTTGGGTATATATTTACATTAAGTGTGAAGAGTCGAAGGGAAAGACAATTTATTAACTAATAACAATATAAAGAATCAAAATTTTCAATAATATATGTTAAATCATTAAATATCTAGACATTTGTATCTAGTTGAATATGTATTAAGCTTGCGCTCTACATACACTTTGGCCCTTACTATTATATCAACATCTTACACTAATACATTTATAAAGGCACTTTTAAAACAAAGCAGTACAAAGACACAACACAACCGGCTACGCAGTACAACTACTTTTCCCATAATCAATTCTGCAAAATTTACTTTTCCTAAATCCCCAAATATTGCTATATAAGATAAAAGTCCTTTAAACTCTACCATATTCTAGTAGATAAACTATAATCAATTCTCTAAGTATTTTCGTACGAAGCTTTCCAATATAAATTGACAGTAAAGTCAGTGAATCCGAAAAATAAATAAACATATACCGCTTCTTGTGTCGTTTTGTCTTGAAGTGCTCATCCCTCACCGCCACATTCGCAAAGTACCGACTAAAAAAGATAAACGAAAAAAATTAAACAGCTAAAAATCGCAAAGAAAAAGAAAAACAAAACAAAATGAATACAATAAAAATAATTACTCGCAGTGCAAACAGTAATATTGGCCCATTCCGGGAAGATCTTCATCTACAGGCAATGGTTTCTTATCTTCATCTCGCTTCTGAATCTCCTCATAAACAGCATCGTCACGTGATCGATTCCGCGACAGTAAAGAAAATACAACGAAGATGGAAATATATATATATGACGAGAAAATCATTAAAAAAAATAAGGATGAAACTTTGAGAAAGTGAGAGAATCTGAAGAATAGAAAAAAGAAAATAAAATGAAATGAAATTGAAGGATATCTTTCACAAGGAATTTGGTACGACGAGCCGTCTTGTGAGACAACCTTCTCTTCTTGACCTTCCTGTGTGGACACTTTCCTCCCATTTTTCTTCAGTACTTCGAGAGCTGGGTCGTCTTTCCTGCAACTGCAAAATTAGGGTACCAAATTTGAACAAGAAAAGGTAGGGTTTGTGCAAGGTAGGGTTTTATGTTTTATAACTTTTATGGTAATTACATTCACATCGCCCGTGAGAGGTGGTGTCCTAGAAATAGGTCTTTTACTTACGCTGACCTCCCTCGTTGCCTCGTTCGACTAGGGAGCTTTACCACGTTGAAATAATTATAAAATGGCAAAAGGACAAAAAAAAAAAAAACAAAAACACTAGCCTAGATGTCCCCTCAATTATTTTTATGAAGCAAGTTAGTGCTTAATTATTTAAACCAAGCAAAATGTTCTCAGAAAATCACTTTCCGATTGGCAAAGGAAAATTACTAATTTATCCTCACTTATTAATTTATAATAAAATAAATAAAATATTATGGGTGTAAAATATCAACAATGCCCTCTCTTTTATATATTTTTTTTTATTATTCTTCTTTTTCTTTATTGCCGGTAACACGAGGTCTGCACTAATCCACAGCGACCAACACTCACATAATCGTGAATGGTTAGCAGTGACCTACTGCTCTAATTAATATCTCGATGCCTTATTTTCCTTCACCTAGTTCGCTAACGGCGACCTGAAATCCACTCTTGACGGCGACTCAAGTTTGTGGAATCCATTTATTGGTCCTAAGAGAAAGTTTAAATAGAAAATGAACTTAACATTTTGAATTGCAAGTCTTTTATTATTGGAATACAAAATAGCAACAATATCCATTCAACTATAGGTACGATAGGTAGCATAGGAAGTAAGTATTTAAAATTCATTTTTTCCTCTATCTTCAGTAACCAATCAGAATTGAACTTCAAGTTTTTCTATTGAATTAAATGTTTTTACATTGAAGTACATGTTATTGTCTTTCCACCAACAATTCTATTGTAAAACCCCAATAAACTGCACTTGGTCAGTTATGAAGGCAATTACACCGGTGATAAAGGCACGGCAGTAACCAGTTTAGTCGGTCAACCCTTAGGTGATTTAGGAGGTTGTCTAAGGCCTCAATTAATAAAAAGACTTCAATTTTTTTTTATTTCTTTATATTATATCCTTTCTAAAACTTTTATTTCCTTTCTATTAACACTACAGCCAATATAAAAGCCCAAAATTTGTATTTCCTTATATTATAAGTTATAACTCTCAAAAATTTTATTTGTTTATTTTATAACCTTCCTAAAAATGTTATTTCCTTCTTATTATTAAAATATGCCCAATAGAAAGGCTCCAAATTTTTTTTTTTCCCTGAAATTATAACTTCCTTAAAAAATTTATTTGTATCTATTATTAGACCATAACCAATAGAGATTTAATAGGAGCCAAAAGATTTATATATTTATCTTACCTCTTTTCTCTCTCTCTCTCTCAGCTCCTCATTCACATTTATTTTTTTTTCAGAATTTGTAAAACTTTCCATATTCTTATTTTAACTTTTATCTTCTTTGGTTATTTTTTTTTCCTTTTTATTTCTAACATATTTTTTCTCATTTTTCATTAAGTATAAGTTGTATAACTCTAAAATTAATTATGTGACAAGAAAGATTAATTGGATTGACTATATATATATATTATATATTAAAAGGCCTTGAGGTTTTTTTTTTTTTTTTCCTTCTTATTTCTGACATATTTTTTCTCATTTTTCATTAAGTATAAGTTGTATAACTCTAAGATTAATTACGTGACAAAAAAGATTAATTGGATTGACTATATATATATATTATTAAAATAATGCGTGTATCGCGGGACGGATACACATGTTCTAAAATATATATATATATTTTAAAATGCCATTTTTATATTTTTTTGCCTAAGGCCTCAAATTATATTGAGCCGCCCTTAAATGTAGTCCTAAGGTGCTACCGACAGTAAAGAAGAAAAAGAATAGTAAACAAAAAATTAATATATATAGAATAGAGGGCATTATTGATATTTTACACCCATTATATTTTAAGTAAGGGCAAATTAATAATTGTGCCCCTCTACAGTGGGAAAGTAAGCTCCGGTGGCATTTCGGGTAGCATTTTGCTTGCTTTTGATAGTTTAGGGAACTAACTTGCTTCAAAAATAATTAAGAGGGACTAACTTGCTTCAAAAAATAATTGAGGGGGGCATGTTGCAACAATACAATAGTTTAAGGATTTTTTTTTTTTGGCCCTTCTTGCCTTTTTAATTGAAAGAAAAATACAAGTGAAATGACTATAATGCCCCCACAATAATATTAGTTTACACAACTCAAGTTCTTAACAAATTCACCTGCAAGGCCATTGAGATTGATCTTCAACTACTTAAAAGTGCTTTTAATTTAAAATATTGTGTTTAGATGCGTTGGCCGGCGAAAAAAAAAAAAATTGCTTTGAGAGTGTAGAGAATTAATTTTTTTTAAAAAAGAAAAAAGTTAAAAATCAAACATTTTAAAATTACATTACGAGTACCAAGACCCTTGTGGCTAACTCTTCTTCACCTTCTAAAATAGAAAATCGATAAGGGCAAAAGGTGGTTGTCTAAGTCTGTTTCTTGTCATTAATAAATAAATAAAATTGCATTATGAGTAAAGGTATACTATTTTAGATAATTAAATTATTTGGAAAATCAAATCCCTCTTTACTTTTTGTAAATACAATTTTATCCCTTGTAATAGAAAAGTAAAAACGATTTGTATTTTAGTATTAAAACAACTTAAAGTGCTTTAAGCAACAATATTTATTATTGTATGGGTAATATAGTAATATTAGTAATAAAAAGTGCTTTAAGCAACATTTTTGTCAAATAAATTCAAATGTGTTTTAAATATAAATACTGTTTTATAAAATGTACACCTAACATGTTTCCTTTTTTTTTTTTCTTTTTTTTCAAACTAACATGTTTCTTACCAACAGCAGTTTTATAACGACTCTATTGATAAAATTGTTTTCACCATTACATCAAGCACTCCAAATTTATATCATAATAACATTTCAATCTCCTCGTACTCAAGTTTGTCAATATTACATATGGGTCAATAGATTATAGAGAAATGTACGGCTATATAATAAAGTTGTTAGGGATAAATTGTAAAGAGAACCAAAATAAACCCAACAATGTAATCTGGTTTGAATTGTAGAGAATCATAATACACCTAGCATTGTAGAGATAAACGGGGAGAATAACTGTGTGGGTATAGTTGGAATTATTTTGCCTTTTTTTAAACATTAATGTCTCTTGATAATGCGAATTACATTAAATTCTTCTTAACTTGTAGCATTTTGCAGTGGACCCCTTCTTATTATTATTATTATTATTATTATTATTATTATTATTTTCCCAAAAAAGAACCTCTTACAATTAACTGGCGGGACTTGCTTTTAACTTAATGCCAAACTTAAAACCCTCGTTGACTTGGTGGGGGTATTTTAGTTGAAGGGGGTTCTGGGGAAAAAAATTAATAAAAGAAGAGTGTATGGCAAAATGCTACAAGGGGATCTTATGCAATTCACCGATATATATGTGTGTTATATATGTGCGTGTATAAATACATATGAGATATTTATATATATATATCACTCTTCTTTTATATATATATATATTAGTACAACAGTACGTGCGTTGTTGCACGTGAGAAAAAATTAATTTAAATTTAATATTCAATAAAGTAATTAAATAATTATTTTCTCAATTTATAATTTAAAATTAATATTCAACAAAGTAATTAAATAATTATTTTTTCAAATTATAATTAAAACTAATTTCATAAAAAAATCACACTGACATATTAATTAATGATCAATGAAAATAAAATTGATATATGGTAAAAGAGATAAAAGTAACAATTTTGAATTGAACTTTTTAATAAGAATTCAATTATTGATAGGTGTATTTTAAAATTCTTAAACTAAAATCAAAATTAATATTAATTAATAACTTATGTTTTAATAAGTGTGAGGAGTTGTATAACTTTATTAAATTTATTATCTTATTATTTATTCAACGATTAACTTATATTTGTACTTTACTCGGTAACTCATGATTAACTTATTTTATTATTTATTTATTTTTAATTGATAATGATGATTTGAAATTCTTTACGCGTGGATTGAGTTGTATTTTTATTGGTAATGTATATTTGTATTTTGATTGGTAACTTATGATTAACATATTTTATTATTTATTTATTTTTAATTGAGAGTGATGATTTGAAATTCTTGACACCAGTTGTACTTTGAATAATAATATAAAGGGTAAAGCGCATTTAAACCCCCCTCCCTTGACTTTTGCCGTTTTGCAATAAAATCTTTCTTTACTATTTTTTTGCCATGAAAAACCCCTCTACTAACCCAAGGGGGTTGTTTTCTGAATTTTTGTCAAAAATACCCCACCAACCAAGTAAGGGGGATTTTATGCAATTTCCCATTTAGTTGAATTTAGCTAAAAGTTCGTTTTTTTCCTTTCTTAGATAAATAATATTTCAACTTATATTTTATTTTACATGTATCACTATATTTTTAATTAAATAAAAACATAAAAAAACAATTTAAAAAGTAATATTTATAGTTTTGAGTGCAACTACATATAAGTTATTAAAAAGGAATGGACCCATGGCTAGGTTATTCCTATTCAAACAAACGTATTTTGATGGAATTGTTTGGCTCAACTACAAATCTGCAATTATGGGCCACACTAATTCCAGCGTCACCTCGTAGATAATCACTGATCAAATTTTCAACTAGCATCAACACGTTTATCTGATGCCATTACTTGCATATTCACCTTTCATTAGAGATAATGGTGTGGCAAGAGAGGGTGGGAAAGATTAAAAAAAAAAAACAAATATTTTTCTAATTTTATAAATTTTACAATGCTATTAAAGAATTTTGATAGAGCAAATTCATTATCATAAAATTAATAACAATAAAAACGGTTCTAACAAGTCATTTAACACAATGCCTCTCTTATTTGTATGGAGTTTGTCAGATAGACACGTAAGCACTAAGAAGGATTAATATTTATACATTGCGTTTGCGTTTGGACTAGGTAAATATTGGGTGAGCCATATCGCGTTATTGGTTTTCTCATTCAGTAAAAATTGATCTCACCTATTTATAAAACTACTTCTAACAAATTGATGTGTCCATTTTAATTGGAGGGGCATACTAATGACGTGGTATGTCTAATTCACCAAATTTCTTCACATCTTCACATTACGAATAGAAAAAATTATTGCATGATCTCGGAAACATTGGTCTTGGCCAATCAACAATTGACACATTAATAAATGTGACAAATTTTAAATTTAATTTTTTTGCTGATGTGTTTTGAAGATTAAGTTGGAGAGTCTTCCATATTTGTGTGGAAATTATGTATTACTGTTATAATAGTAGTAAAAAGGTTCTAAACCATTCCAAAGTTGATAGAAGTTTAAATACCGAAGAAGATTCTAGGAGAGCAAAGAGTTTTTATAAAGATGATGAGCAAAGAGTTTTTTATAAAGATTGCATAACATGTGATATAGATAATGCATATAGAGAAGGAATTGGCCTTCTATATGAGGTATATCTTTAGAAGATATGAGTGTAATTTATTATATATTTTATAATCAATTAATTAAGCAAATAATTATAAATTAAAATGAATGTGAAACTGAGATTTTTGAAGTGGTTAGTTTAATATTCAGAAAAAACGTACTCTGTAATAATAATTTTTCTAAATACAATTTAATAAAATAATTTAACACTTATTTATGATATAATTTTATATAATTAAATATAACTTAATTTGATATTCCGTATCACTTAAAAAAAAATTGTCAAAATTTTTGAATTTATTATTACATTATTTGTTAACGAAGCTAGAATAATACTGCTCCCAATCACTTTTATTTTTTATTTATAAAATTTATTATAACATTACTTGTTAATTAGGAAGTACGACACTTCTACGAAATAGTCTTATTCATGTCGGATACCAACGCTTTTCGGACACTCTTTCGATACGTGTGACACTTCATATATGTGTCTATACACTTAATTTTATTATTTCGGACGCTTCCTGGACACTTCCCTCACACTTTCCGGACACTTCACGGACATTTCTAACACAAGTCTATCCACTCATCTTGAAAATAATATGAATATTGTCATGACAAATAATGGTATATATGATATAAAAATCATTACAACAATGACATAATTTCATTCTCTAATTCATTTCAGAGCAATTCTTAGTATAGAAATTATAAATGAATATGTAGGCGTATCCACACTGTACCCGTGTCTACTTTTTAAAAATTTGACGTGTCGTGTCCGTGCTACAGAGCTTGTTAACGAAGGTTAAACACTTAAAATTTATAAATAGTATAAAAAATCAATTTGTAATTATCATTTAAAAACTGATAGGGCTTAAAATTAAGCCTTTATTAGAACATCTCAAATGCCCTCTCAGACTCAAAATATAACAAGTGCATGAAAATAAGGTACTCCAATGGCCTCTCAAAAGACCTCTCATATTTTGAGATTGTCAAAAGTATTGCCAAATATAGGAGCTATAGAGCATCTCCAATGCTAAAAGCTGTTTTCAATTGCCAAATCTATATTTTGACAGGTGCTACAGTGTCAAAATGATACATTTTAGCAATTCTGCTCCAATTGTGCATTTCATATAAAATGCTATTTTTTGATACAACCACCATTCTTTTTTAATTACCATTCCTATCATTCATATTTATATCAGTAGTATTAATATTAGGTACATTCCAAGTCAAGTTGTAGATATCAGAAGGAAACTAAAATTAAACCTAATTAAAAATAAACAAAAATCTAAAATATTTGGTAAAAAAATGACATATATATGTGTGTGTGTGTGTGTGTGTAAATTTATATATTTGATTATATCGTTATATAATTTTTTTTTTCTTTTTCTTAAATTCATATATTATATATATATATATATTATATATTTGAGTATATTATTATTAAAAATATATATATTTTTAGGGGAAATCATTTCAGCCTCCCCAATCGCCTCATCTCTGTTCTTGATCTCAACTCTAAACTCCCCCTCTTTCTCTCTGTCTCTGTCTCTCTCTCTGTGCAACTACAAATTAGAAAATCTACAAGAATCATAAGTTGAAAACACATATATTTCAATTTATCTATCTGTATGCAAGAATCAAAAGATCAAAACCCATATCGGCATATCATTTCAGATTGTTCAAAAACCCATATCTTTCAGTTTACATCGCCTACTGTTCCAGTTCGGGTTCGCCGTTTGCAAGCTTCAGCCGCTCTTTCAACTTTCAAGCTTGGCCTCTCTCTCTCTGCAACTGTTAAATTGTATATATGGGTTTTGTTTTAATTTTTTTTCCTAAATCAACTAATCAGAGTCTGTAATTATTGTTTTGCAAACTAAATCCTATTTGGTGAAATTTTTTATGATTTTTTAAAATATATATATAGATGAATTTGGGTTGAAATTACGAGTGCGTGCGTGCGTGCGTGTGTGGGGGGGGGGGGGTTTGGTGTTAAAGAGCTGCCAAAAAAATTTGGCAGCTTTTATATTTGAGAGAAATTTTGAATTTTTGTTAAACCAAATGAAAGGCTATTGAAGTAGCTTTTTTTTTTTTACCCATCTCTCAAATTACGAGTTTGAGAGCTCATAATGAAAGAGCATTGGAGATGTTCTCAAATGACCCTCCAACTCAAAATATAGCAAGTAGATGAAAATAAGGAACTCCAATGAGCTCTTAAAAGACCTCTCATATTTGTGAGATTGTCAAAAGTTACTAAAATTAAAGTAAGACACTCCAATGGGTTCTCAAAACATGGAATGGTTGTTGTGTAAAAAAATAACATTTTTGATGAAATATACCATTGGAACATAATTGCAAAAATATAACATTTTGACACTGTAGTTGTTCTTAAAATATAAATTTGAAATGAAAATATAACATTTTGCATTTTTAGATGCCCTCTCAAATGCCTCTTAAACTCAAAATCTAACAAGTGGATGAAAATAAGGCATGCCAATGGCCTCTCAAAAGACCCCTTATATTTTGGGATTGTCAAAAGTATTGCTAAATATAGCAACTCTCAAATGGTCTTTCAAACTCAAAATATAACAAGTGGATAAAAATAAGGCACTTTAATGGCCTATCAAAAGACCTCTCATATTTTGAGATTGTCAAAAGTATTACCAAATATAGGAGCTCTCAAACTCAAAATATAGCAAGTTGATAAAAATAAGGCACTCCAATAAGATTTCAGAAGACCTCTCATATTTTGAAATTGTCAAAAGTTGCTAAAATAAAAATAAGGTATTCCAATCACTTCTCAAAACATAGAATGGTTGTTGTGTAAAAAAAAATAACATTTTATATAAAATACACTATAGAAATAAAATTACAAAAATATAACATTTTGACATTACACCGAAAAGATGCCACAACAGTGAACTTGCAAGTGAATAGTCATCTAATTAGAAAAGAACAAAAAAAAAATAGTCATCTCACATATCACAGTTTTTTTGTCACTTTATTTCAATGCGGTAATTTCATTTTCACATCGTTACCAAAATTATTTAATAAATGAAAAAAATCTATAAACCCTATTTTTTTTTACACCTATAAACTCTATTTAATGAATTTGGTACCGTGCTACACATTAGCTCCCTCCTCCCCTCTCTCTCTACCATGTATGCAAATCCTTCTCTCCTTATCCTCCATGTACGCCTCACCCCATTCCTTAAACCCTCGCTAGCCACTACGCTTCGCGTCAATTTCTTTCTCTCTCTTCACCACCACCTTTCTCCTTCATCTTCATCACCATCGTCATTCTCTCGCGCTCGCAGACTCACCTTCCCTAGTCTGTCAATCTCTGCAAATGGCAGGAGTTATTCTTCTTCACCATCATCCGCGGCATCGACAGAGTCCCCGAACCCTAATACAAATGAGAGTGTCGGGTCGGGACGGTCCGGATCGATGTCTTCGCCACCGGCCATTGATGCCGTACAAAAGATTGACGTCAATCCTCCCAGAGGAACCAGGGACTTCCCGCCGGAGGAAATGCGACTCCGGAATTGGCTATTTCGGAACTTCAGAGAGGTTAGTGTCTTTGATTATATTTATAATATTTCTATATATTTATGGAAATAAATTGGTTCTTGGATTTGGTCGGTTGTCATTTCAGGTTTCGGAATTGTTCGGGTTTGAAGAGGTTGATTATCCCGTTCTCGAGTCAGAGGCATTGTTTATTAGAAAAGCTGGCGAGGAGATAAGAGACCAGGTCTTGTTAAAATTTTCTTTCACATTCTTATTGGTACAAGAGTCGGGTTTTTTGAAGTTAGAACTTCAAAAATGGTAGTTCAGCGTTTTTATTTTTGGAATTAACCCTTTCAAGAAAGGGGCACACCCACAGTGTCCCCGTAGAAACTTGAACCCTAGCCATTCTACTTGAAGTAAGTACCATTGGGCTAAAATATCATCATCATCATCTTCCTTCCCTTAAATCCCATATGAATGGTGTTGGCCACAAGAGTTCTCTCTTACCACTGGGCTACACCCCTTCTAAAATATAGTTAAATTATATGGAAACCTTTAATCTGAATTATCTTATAACTTATCTTATAGTTATACCATTCTTTCTGCTACTTGTTAAGAGAAAAAAAAAATATATTATTTCTGATAAAATAAAGTGTTACTTAACATTCAAGTTCTTTGGTCAGTGTTAGCACAAGTGACTGGAATTAGAAATTTTATTTTTAAATTATGGACACATTTGAAAATGTATGGGAGTGTGTTTAGAAGTGTCCAAGAAGACTATTGGTTTGATTTTGGTAGACATAGCCCATTCAGAACCCTTTTTTTTTTTTTTTTTTTTCTTTCCTAAATTAGCCCATTCAGAACCTTTGTCTGGAGGTGTGTGGTGACTTCTGAACCTAGTGCTTATGGAGGATGGAAATTATTTCTCCCCTAAGATGATCCCCGTTGCATGACAGGAAGTTGACTCCTGTTCAATACCGTGCAAGAAAACCCGACTCATTCCACATGCCATATAGTTGACAAAGGAATGATTTAACGATTACATCATTGCATCCTATAAAACAAGGGTCTATGGTTTTAACTCCTAGACATGCACACAACTCTCATAAACGAGTCCATGTAACATATCTTTCATTATTGCCTTCATTGCTTTGTGCTGCCCTGGGTAAAAGCTTGATAATATTTTTAGCTGAATATGTTTCTTTCAGCTTTTTAGGTTCCAAACGTTGGTTCACCATTGGTCTTACTCTCTAAATATTGATACTTCATTGAGATACGGGAAATTTAAATACCCCCCAAAAAAAAAAAAAAAAAAAAAAATTACAAATGTTTTGATTTTTGGAGTAAAAAGAGTAGGAATTGAATTGGTGCAAAACAAATCCAGAAAGATTATTATTATTATTTTTTTGATTTTTAAACCTGATAAATTTGTTACCATAATATTTTTGTACTCCTTTGTGCAGCTTTACTGTTTTGAGGATCGGGGAAATCGTCGAGTTGCATTAAGGCCTGAACTCACTCCTTCTTTGGCAAGGCTTGTGATACAGAAAGGGTACTTGAACAATTTTTTTTGGGTAGCATTTTTGGCTGCTTTTGGGTTGAGAAATGTATTGGTGTTACATTTTTTATTTATTCTTTGTTTTTTCTTGGCTTTTGCTAATTAAAGAATGAAATTTTAAAAATTTTTAATCCTTCTATTTATTTGTTATTCATGATCTTTGAATCCAGGTGCAGAAGCCAGAATTTGATCTCCATGTTTTTTTCTGTCCAGAAAATCCAATCCCCTCCCATTAAAATGGTTTGCTATAGGACAATGCTGGCGCTATGAAAGAATGACCAGGGGACGGCGTCGTGAGCACTACCAGTGGAATATGGATATCATTGGTGTACCTGATGTTACGGTACGTCTTCTGAACATGATTAAGTGTACCATTGAGACATTCTTCTTCTTTTTATTTTTTATTTTTTACGCAGGGCCTTTATGTTTTATGATCAATCAATAGCTGATTATTATTATTATTTTTTTATCATAATGTTTTCTTCTTAAAATTATTGGTTGATCTTTCAACATTTTTTTTGGAAACTTGTGGTTTGTTATGAAGAGAGTGTTATCTATTTTCGTAAGGTTCCATTAACAATTTGAAGAGTCATATTCAAATTGGAAATTATAGTAAATGGTTTTGACAACCATATGCATGCCAATAATTTAGAAGGTTTGAATCGTTTGATTATCAATCAATTACATGGCCTTATTTTAGGTCTAGATATATTGTTGGGTCTTTTATTATGGTTACTAAGGTCAAAATTCCTAATTGGAATTGGAGTAGGAGATATCCAACAGCCTATACATCATACATGCCTATCCGCCTTTTTTTTTTCTTTCTTTCAATGCACATTGATTAAGTGAATGTACAAGTACAACTGACTGGCTAACTTATAGGCGGCAGCCCCAACTATGTGGTGGTTGCTCCAGGCCCTGTAGCTTAGTTATCCTCCACATCTCTGGGATGTCAAGCAGCCCGTTCTAATGGGTTTGTCATTATTGAACCTTCGTGGATTTTTGGACTGGACAGAACACCTTTGCCCCCTTGCCCCCCCCCCCCCCCCCCCCCTCTCTTCTCTCTCACAAACACTTAGCTCTCATCTAAATCTAACCAGCGGATTTCATGTCCAAGATTAAAGAATCTGATCCATCGAACTTTTAATTTTCAAACAATGTTCACCCCCAACCTTCTTGCTTGAGTGACAGTAATCAATGAAAATTTCAAGCTCTTATATGCTTAGTTTATATCATTGTGTTGGAAGTTGGATCAACTATATGATATATTCACTCTTATCTTTGTCATGCTTAATCTTTTGTTCTTTGTGTTCTAGGCTGAAGCGGAGCTTATTTCTTCTATTGTCACCTTTTTCAAGCGAATTGGGCTGACAGCATCACATGTTGGGTTTAAGGTTTCTAGCCGAAAGGTGTGAACAAATCTTTCTTTTATTGTTATCACTAATTTAGACCAATTAAAGGTCTTTCCTAACCTTGTTAAGATTCTCCTGACATTTTCATTATTTTTGTTGGGCAAAGGCTTTGTAATGTTGATAACTTATATATAAAAAAAGGTTCTATAATGTTGAAGCTTTCCGAGAAGTTGAGTTATATATATATATATATATATATATATATAAAATAAGTTGAGTTTCAGCTCTAGCAGTATGTTTTTTTTTTTTCCCCTTCTACCAGCGTTGAAACGTTGACCTGTGTTTTGGAAATCGAAAACCCAAAGCCACCGATACAGAGGTAGACTAGTCTTTAGCAGTACATTTATACAAACCGGGTTTTGAACTCCAGTTTAATGGAACCATGTTGAATTGCATTACTAGTTCATTAATTTGTTAAGAAGCAAGTAAATATTGTGATATAGTAAAATTCACTTATTCTACTTGGATGAAAGATCAACTATTATATGGATGCTTTAGCTGAAAAGGATCTCAAGAATATTATAGGCACAACTTAAAATAAGTGAACTAATGAGGTTTTTGTACTACTAATCTCTAACCATGTCTCAGCGAACAATATTGTTCTGTAAATGGAATGTGTTTCTGAAAAATAGTTTTTTCTTGCAGAAATTTTTTTTCCTGATTAAAGAAGAAAATCATGCCAGGGCTTGTTTCTGTTATACCCCTTGCCTCTATATATGGGAAATTTTGGATGTCGGAAACACATTATGTGTTGTACTTCTCTTTTCTGGTGCTGTAATTAAATTATAATATCATGAATTTGTGAACTTTCAACAGGTATATTTGAGTGCCTCTAGCATTCTTCATTTGGATCCTCTTGGGTCGGCAGTAGTGTCAATATGCTATTATATCTCATTTTCTTTTTCCTGGTCTTGTATATATCAATTTTTTATATACTTACTTTCCTTGCATTTGTACTTCAGACTATCTTTCTTGCTAATCACTACCAAAATAGAGGTGTTACTGTTTGTGACCTTTTCCTTTCTCCTTCATAGGTTTTACAAGAATTATTGAGGCGCTACTCTGTTCCAGAAAATCTATGTGGCAAAGTTTGCATCATTATAGACAAGGTCAGTTGTATGTATGTATATATATATATATTTCTTTCTTCTCTCTCTACCGGTATTGAACCCTGTCCTAGAGCTGGGGAGTTATGACCCAAAGCCACTAAGATCAAAGGTAGGCTGGTAGTCAGTTGTATAATTTGTCACGTTTCAAGATGCAGTTGCACTCTTTTTGTTAACCTATGTCTATTGCAACCTGCTTTCTATCTCAATCTGAGTAAATTACAGCGACAACAACTAAGATTTGGCAAAGATACAGCTTGTCCCCTGATTTTGTAATCTGATTGACATGTACATAGGTCATCCTTTTACATTTTTACACCCACATATTTATGAAATCTGTCTCTGTGCAACCAACACTCACCTCCATTCACATCAGCACTAACCACCCTGCCACTATATTCTCAATTTCCACACGGCACTGTGGATGGTATGATCACCACTGTCAACGTCGCACCCCACCATCATCCACATATTTGGCCACACGCCACAACCCTCACAATTTGCCTAAATCAACTTGCGCATTAGCTCATAATGTGAATGGCTTACCATCCCAACATATAAATCTCACAATGGAGGACATCCTTCACTACATGAATGGCCATCACTTCCTCATAATCAAATTAAACACTAATGGTCCATTCGGTAGGAAGGAATGAAGAGGGGTGGAGAGAAGATAAGAAGGAACAAAGCCTTTCTTGGCTTGGTAGAGAGGAGACAAGGAGGGAATGGAAGAGAGGATGGACGAGCCATCCTTCTTGGCCCAGAAATTTTAATCTCTCTAGAAGTGGACGGAAGGGAGGAAGAAAGAGAGGCAAAGCTATAAATTGTAATTTGACGTTACTACACTTCATAATTATGAGAGATAAACTAATACTTGTATTTTAGATTATTTAGCGAGTGTATTTTGGTAAAAAAATATAAAATCTCTCATTCCCTTCCATCTACCAAACAAAGAAATGTGTCATCTCATCCGTCCTTTCTACTATCCCCTTCATTCATCCAAACAAAAAGCAAGGAAGAGTGGAAGACACCTTCCCTTCCTAGGGCATAGTAAAAAACATATGCCTCATCCATCCTTCCCCCTTTCCCTTCCATCTATTTTTCCATCCCTACCAGACTCCCAGTGTTATCAAAGGCCCAAGGTGCACTAAGGCGCTAGAGGTCCTCTGGAGCCTAGGCGCAAGGCGAGGCGCATGCCTGAGTGAAGTGAGGCGCACATTGGAAAAAATAAATTACTATTAAAGCATTCATATTTCATTTTTAAGGCGCAAATGTTGTCAAAGGCGCACCTAGGCACACAACAGGTGCAAGTCTTGCGCCTGTATGAGCTTGGAGCCTAGGCGCGCACCTTTGACAACATTGATCCTTCCTACCAAATGGAGCACCGTGATATTTCTATGTGATTTTTGTTTTTATCCTGATTTGATTGGTCAATTTGTTGAGAATTTTACTCCATTCGTCCCAGGATATTGAGAATGCATTGATGTGTTGGTGTTGAAGAGTTGATGAAGTGATGCGCAAAAAACCAAATTTGAGGTTTTTTTTTTAATATGAAAACAGCAGAATTATTAATAAAAGGAAATTAAAAAAGGGAAGAATACAATTGGAGGAAGGATGAGAAATCCTTTGCAGAACAGAACAGAACTCGTTGCTGTCAAAGTGAAATGAAGACAAATTCCTATAACAACAGAAACACAAATTTGAGAACTACAATTATCGATTACACATCAGTTCGTTCAAGAACTTGTAATGGTACAATTATAAATTATTCAATGCATTGTCTGATTTAACCATAAAAGGTTATTAATCATTATCGTCTACGTGGACGGGGAAAGATTGGAGACAGATGTGCCATTTGGTATTATTTTGTGCATGGTGTTTTCCTCATAGTTGAACCTCCATTTTCATGCTTCAGTCCATGCTTTTACCATTGCATCAAGACACATTCTTCCAAGTCTCGCCCAATCCTCTTTTGTTTCCTTTGAATACTGCAATTTGTTGCATTCTTTGACCACACCACAGCTAAACTCAAACGAATATATTCCCCCCTTTCTCCTCAAATTAGTGGTGGTCATGGTTTCCACTTGCTAAAAGTATCATTTTGAAAATAGAGAAATTAAATGATATATTATGCATATTTATAAGGAACCAATACCATCTATGGCAGATGAATGTGGAGGTTTATGATTGAAATTGTTAATGGATTTATGGGTGCACCTGATGGTGGGATGTTGAATTACAGGTTTGAATCTGGTTTTCCTTATCAATGTCAACTACCCAAAATTTGTCATTCCATTGCAATATATCAATCTAGTAAACTTTATAATGAAGCCCCTATCAAGTTCATGTACAAATGTAAAATAATATACAAAAGCTTCTTGTGATAATGTACAACTATCAACCTATTTTATTTTGTCATGAATCATGATGTATGGTAATGGCTTTTCAATGAACTGAGCTGGTTCAGGTTGTTCTCCCAAAATCATACTTATCCAGTGGCATTTTACATATCATTATACTCCTGTTATTTATTTGATTGTGGGTGTCCTTGAACCTTGCTATTAAATTGGATGTCGACTTTCTTGGATTCCCAACTCGTTGCAGAAATGTTATGACACCTCAGTCCTTAAATTTTCATTGATTGTCTGTGTATACCATGTCAACTTCAATCATATTCCTTTTTATTTTATTTTATTTTTTTACCTATGTTTCTTGTCTTGTATTATTTTTACTATATAGATGGAAAAAATTCCACTGGATGCGGTTAAGAAAGAGTTGAGATCTGCCGAGTTATCTGAAGAGGCTATCGAGGACCTATTGCAAGTTCTTTCTATGAAGTCTTTGACAGAGTTGGAAGGTTAGTTCTTGCAGCATCTGATCAAGAAGTTACCAATTTATATTTTTTTTGTCTTTGCCCAGGGTAAACCTGTGGAACTTTTTCATCTCAACTTATAGAAAGTATAATGGTTTCAATTATAATTTGCCTTTAGCGGTTCGTGTACATAAATCCTGCTCAACCTTTTCTTGGCCACATATTATGTTAAATCACAAGTCATTTTGTTTTGTTGACCGTGCACTTGTTGTGGAGAACAAGTAACCATGCTGAGGGGAATGTGTCTCTTATTTCAATACAAGTATAGAAATTAGTCGTATTTCAATAAACAATAGTATTAACTTGTTGAAAGCCCCACCATCAGTTAATCGCAGGGTTTAGAAATATTGATGCTGCATGAGCGTTGCGTTTTGTTTTGCAAAAGACACTTTCTTATAAGTATTTTTTTCCCCAAGTACTTGCTTTAAAGTTCAAGATCCTGCACTATCATTTTTTTTTTTTTTTTAATTTTTTTTTTAATATATATTTTGTAGTTCATAAATGTCATTATTGGTGCTATGTTAAAAGTTCGTGCTTGATAGCACGAAAAATGGTTTTTGTACCTTGTGTATAAGGACTGGCTATTTCATGAGTGAAATGGGTACAGGACTTTTTCACAGTAGGTAGTCATTTTGAAGGTTGACAAGAATAGATTACAGTAAAGTGGAACAGAGATTTTAAAAGGTAAAGTTGGAATCTAAAGTGAAGTTGAATAAAACTGAGGAGACAAAATAAATGGAGCTAAAGCAGGTGGTTTATATATGTACACATGAAACTGTTTCGCTTTAATGATTTTCTAGCACGTGGTGTGTTTTAAAGGCTTAACTTTGATAATGGTTAGATGAAACAGAATGCACTATAGGGTGGTTGTTCTTTTGGAGAAAGGCCTGTGGCTTTGGTTTCACAAGGTTTATGAACCTAAATTGGGTGAAAGGTGAAACAAGACACACATTGGCATATTGGAAATTATTTAGGATTGGTTTATGTAGTTGAGAAGGAAATTCTAAATCACTTACTTTTTCCACAAAAAAATTTCCCTACTTATCAGAATTGGGGAATCTTTTCAGAATCCTCCACAGTATACCACCCAAAATTGCACTCAAGGCCATTACTCACCCCTTCACTGAATTTGATACAAAAAGTTCGAGAATAATGTTACAAGTTGTATTTGTGGTTTACTTGATCGTGTTGAAGTTTATTTGTTTTTTGGTGCTGCCTTTTTTAACCTATACACGCAATGGTTTTCCTAACACAGTATCCTCTTATTAAATTATTATTTTTTGAAAGATGCATATTTGGAGAAGTTAATTTTTATTACTTTTCCATGAAATTTTTAAATGGTTGGGTATTAGACGTAAGTTGGGCATATGAAGTGTACCAGGTTACAACGCGGTATTGCGTCACAGCGAGTGTCTTTTAGATCTCAACCCAATCAATTCTGATTGCTATGCCTTCTTAAAGGATTTCTTCCAAGAGTGGTTCTTTGTTTGTTTTTTTATTTTCTTTAAATTCATTAATATATATATATATATATATATATATATATATATATATATATATATATATATATAGATATTCAATGGAACAACTTTTTTTAGCAGAACGATAATTTATGGCATATTAATATTCTTATCATGTATGCCTTGAGAATGTGTAGAGAAACTTGGAGCTGTGGGGGATGCAGTTGCTGATCTGAAACAACTATTCTTGCTTGCTGAGAAGTTTGGTTATTCTGAATGGATTCAGTTTGATGCATCTGTTGTCCGTGGCCTAGCCTATTATACTGGAATTGTGTTTGAGGTTAGATTTGTTAAGTTGATTTTCCTTCATTTTCTTTTTCTGAAAAGGACATGAATCTTTTGTATCAGAAACTGCACCTCAGAAGGCCCCATGTATCATATATCTTACTGTTGCTCGTGTGATCATAGCGAACTGCTGTCTGTATGAGCTAATACTTGGCAGTAGGGTCTGATGTTTACCTTAGCAATGCTGCTTAGCCACTTTCCGAAAAAAAGAAAAAAAAATGCTGCTTAGCCAATGGCCTAGGCTGGCGACCTCCATTGCACTTAGGAGGGGTGGCCACCTAGGGTCTGCCCAAGTGGCAGAGCCCACATCATTTGTGGTAGTGTGGGCCTGCATTAGCGTGGCCTCTGTCCAATAAAAAAAAGAAGTCTGCAATGTACTCGCATGACCTGCCACAGTTCTCAATTTGGGAATTAGTAAAATATTATAAAATTTTGGCTGAAATTCTGGTTGGAGATGTCAGTCTCAACATCATAACCTTGTTATCAAGGGGAAGAGACCCACAGATATAATCCCAAATTTGTTCCTCCTCTGAAGGGTTACCTTTTTCTTCCTCATGTAAAGCATTACTTTCATGATTGTGCCAATACTGTCCTGGCACTGGTATGAGTACTGTTACCAGGTTATCCTGACCGAAGTACCAGACTGCATGGATTCCCATCCCATGCAAAATCTTGCCCTATAAAGATTTCCATGCTTCCAAGCACCTGTAATTTTGCGTATAGATCAATGTGCCTGCACCAAAGAAAATAAAATTTTGCAGTTCTTCTTACTTATGAATAAAATGAGTGAAGATATTTGTAATGACAATAATGCTGCATTTAACAAAGATGAATTCTGTTCCTTTTATGCAAACACATAATGTAACTTGAGTAGAAAATCTGGTGCTCCTTTTCTTTTCTGTAATAACTTTATCATTTATGCAGGGATTTGATAGAGAAGGAAAGCTGCGAGCCATTTGTGGTGGAGGACGATATGACCGTTTACTCTCAACTTTTGGAGGTGATGACATTCCAGCTTGTGGCTTTGGATTTGGTGATGCTGTAATTGTAGAAGTGAGTGAAAGCATTCTCTGTCTTACTCTCTCTCTCTCTAGTTTTTAGTTTTATTTTTTGTCGATGTTGAAGTAATTTAAAATTGAAATGAGTTGTCTTATCTAAATTTTAAGATCCCGAACTTCAATATTGTTGAAATGAACCGGCCTCTATATTTTGTCCATGATAGCTTAATTTCTACCTCGTTCAAGATTTTCACTTTGCATTTTATTATGTTGATGAGGGCAAGCTTTGGCGCAATGGTAAGTTTTTTCCATTGTGATTGGAGGTCACGGGTTCGAAACAAGGAAATAGACTCGTAGGTAAGGCTGTGTACATCTGACCCTCCCCAGACCCCGCAATGGTGGGAGCCTCATGCACTGATTTGCCTTTTTATTTTTAATTTTTATTTATGTTATTATGTTGATGTCGACTTTTTGATAGATTGTACAAGAAGAGAAGAATGTTACTGACTGCAGAACACATGCTGTATAAACATCTTAGTATACATAGGGCCTTTTTATTTTAGAACCTTGGATTTACTTATACGGAGGTTACCTGCAAGCTCTGCTAATTGATGTGTTTTATGTCATTTTAGGAGGTTAAAAGCCAATGGGAATTTGAATTTGTATTAATGTCCCACGTGTGAGGAAGTTAGCCTCATTAACAATCGAATTAGGCTGGCTCCTTATTATATGCAGCCTTGTATATAAAGTATAACAAGTAATTTTTGCTGTTTAAAGTGATCGTTATATTATAAATTACTCTTCTAGCTGTCAGGTTCAATGATCTGGGATCATGAAGTTACAAGGTCACTGTATAGCTTGAACTATAACTTGCATATTGCTAATGTTTGCACAATCATTGGATGAATTTTGTTAATTGTGGTGACTCATTCGACCTAGTCTCAAGTATGCCTACCAACTTGAACCATCTTACTTTTTTTTTTTTGGGGGGGGGTGGGGTTGTTAATTATAGTTTCTTATGAAATTTTTTTTTTAAAAATGATTTTGGACGTTTAGCTGCTCAAGGAAAAGGGGCTTCTACCAGAACTTGGGATCCATGTAGAGAATATTGTGTGCTCACTGGATCATGACCTTCAAGGTGCAGCTGCTGCAGTTGCTACTATTCTGAGGGGAAAAGGCCAAAGTGTTGATTTGGTTTTGGAGAACAAACCACTGAAATGGTACATAATACCATTTCTCACATGCTTAAAAAATTTGTTCTTTTTTTTTCCTGGATAAGTATGAGACAGACGCTTACCTTACACCTTCCTTTTTGGAAGATGCACTCAAGCTGAAAGTTGCTAGTAATAACAGTTAAGTATTAATTATTATTATTTTTTTTTTCCTTTTTCCTCGTTATCAGGGTTTTTAAACGGGCAGCTCGGATAAATGCATGCAGATTGATACTGGTAGGGAGTTCTGAGTGGCAAAAAGGTATGGTTAGTGTAAAAATCCTTTCATCTGGTGAACAATATGAGATTAAAGTTGACGAGCTAGAGTAACTAGCATTGTATTTTTTACATTTATCTTTCATTGCTGATTTAGAACCTATTAAAAGTCATTATCTCTCTTCATCTCATGTGCTTTTGCATATTAGTGTAAATGAAGTCAATTTTGTACTATAATTTAAACTAGTTAGTATTGGGCGTTACTGAAGGAAGATGTTTTACTTCGTAAGTGTGTATCGGCAAATCAATTTACTTCCCTTGTGACAACTATATATTCAGTTTTACTTTATGTACTTTATGTTAATTTTTTATGACTAATTTATAATTTTGCCCATTTATCCGTCTCCCTTTGATCTAATGTGCTTGTACAACTTTTTGTAGTGATCTCAAAGGAATTAATTCTATTTTGCTGTAAATTTTGTAGAATCGGTAATAGTTTGTTTTGGCATCTGACCCAACAATGATTTTATTTTCTGCTTCACAGTGTGACAACATTCAAAATTTCTTCTTTTTTATCGTTCACAATGTTCTCTTTTACGTGGTGGTAATAGCAGGAGAAATTGTACTGAGTGGTGGAGCTCTTATTTTATAGAAGGATTAAGAGTTTGGCCCTTATAAAGTTCTTTGCCTATATCTACAAAAGCATGTTTAGATATCCATTCTTTATAGCTAGACTTCAGAAACATCTTGTTTATTCATTTTTAATTTAATTTATTATTATACTTTATAGAGGTATATACATTGGATTTTTCAATTGTGTTTATTTTCTCTGGTTGCACTTGATTCCTTTGGTACACTATCAATTACTCAAGGTTAAAATCATATCACCTTGCTCAGGTTAATATCAAGGATTGAGAATTAGACTGTCCTAACAGTTAAAATCCTTGTCTCATTGCTTATGCTAATATCATGTATCGCATCATAATATTTCAGGTGACACTTGCTTAATCTTAGAAAGTGGTTGATGCTAGATCCTTGCTAAATTTGCTTCTTTGTGGCAATACTTCAGGATCTAAACTTTTCTTTTCTTATTTATTTTTGCGCCCATAAATTCTCAAAACTAAAAGAAACATGTAGACGTATAAAAAGAGTAAATGTTTTCTGGAGTAAAATATGACAGGTTTCAACCGTAGTGTTTATGTCTTTTCACCTTTTAGTAGAAATTGAGAAACATGATGCAATTATTTCATTCTGAAAATGTTGTTGATGGACATGAAAATGAGGGGTAAAGTCATGAGTGCAAACTTAATTATTTATGCCATTTGCGTCAAAGAACAATCATAGCAGGTTGAAATGACAAGATGACACCTCAACTTGCGATGCTTTATGGTACAGAATGTTTGGTGGTCAGAAAAAGATTTGTATAATATATATATAGCTGAATTGATGATTAAGATGACCAAGTGTCACAATGAGACCCTAAAATTTAGGGGACGGTTGCTTTCGTGACCAGGGGATGATTTTGGTTTCCTGTAATGAAGACTTTCATGTCCAAGTCGATGAGTGATGGGAAAAGCCAAAAGTGCTGTGTTGATGAAGTTTTGTCCAACAAATAGATGAAGTTTTGATGTTTTAGATTATTAAGTTTCTCTCATTGTATTTTTATTTCTATTTTTTCAATTTAGTTGTCTGAGATTGTCCAAGCTAAGCTTTCCTCACATCTAATTGTGTCTACTAACTCTGTATTGTAATAGTATTCTTTAGTTGAGTATGGGCTCATGGTTTGTGGTTCCTTGGAGGTTGGAGCATCGCTTTATCAATGAGTGATGGGTTTTCCTCCATTGGTACTCATGCTATTCTGATGTCAACATCATTTTGATAATCAATTTTTAGTGTTCTCAGATAAGTCACAATTTGGTTATCGTCATCTCTGTGTATTTTAATCGTTTGTGTAGTAGAGTGACTCACGCAACGCTGAACAAATGCGGCAGAACTGGACCACTTAGTTTTTGTGGAATTATGAATGTTAGGTCAAAAACCTTGTTCACGAATTCATAAAATATTGAAGTTTATGTGAGAATATAAATCTATATGGGTATATTTTGTATAAATCAATAAACAATGCCTGGCTAAGTGATTGGCATGAGGCACAATGGAGGTGTGAATATAGGTGTATGCAATGTGAACCATTCCATTAGGCAAATGCTTAGCTTAACACATAGCTAGTTCATAAACTTTACTTGGCTGGTTGTCAATGAGTAAAGTTATAATCTTCTGAAGTGACCTAAAAAGGATTATTATTTTTATTAGGGTAAAGTGCAAAAAACCCTCTTCAATTTTAACTCTCCTGAACTACAATTTGTCCCCTTGAACTATTAAATTTAGTGCAATTAACCCCTAATGTGACATCTCCGACCAATTGGTGTAAACAGAAATAGTAAAAGACAATTTTATCCCTTATATAAAATTGCCAAGTGTTTCACACGCGTACGACAAGTTACACAACTTCAGATGGTGGCTTCGATGGATGTGTGTGGATCAATCCAATCGGCCCATCTCTGTCGCCTTGAACCTCCAGACCAACCAAATCCGACCCTCACCGACACGTGGTGCTCTTTGGTTCAGTTCCTCCCCGACGGCACCCTCCTATAGACCGGCGACGGCCTCAACGGCATCCAAAAATTTTGTAAATTTGTGCCTTGTGAATCCATGGCGCTCTGCGAGGATTGAACTTCAAGATGTCGAATAAGCCGAGGATCTATTTGCCGCCAAAAGAGAAGAAGAAAGGCGACGGTGACGCAGCGGCGAAACCTAATTCTGCTGCAATCGATGGCGGCGGTGGGCGACACATTGCTCTGAACAAGATGAATATTGAGAGACAAATACTTTTTTCCAGAAGATTTCCCAATATATCATTCCAAAATTCAAATCAAACGTAGATATAGAAAAACAGATGACAAGAGCCACTGACATTCACTCTTACAAACAAATTGGAATAGACACACGTGAAAAAGAAATACACAGATGCACTGATGAGCATGAGTGATTGGAAGAGTGGGTGACTGATCATCTCACGTCAAGTTCGAGAAAGGGCTACAGTGGACAACAAGATTAACAGTATAAACACAAGAATTCCTCCAAAGGATCTGATCAAAGAGCCAGAAGTGCGCTCACAGAAGGATTGGAATTGTTGGCAGACGGCAAACCAGTTTGCTTTTGCATTGCCCTTGTGTGCTAGGTACACAATCGCTGCAGCTGCTGAAGCTCCAGCCGTTAAAAGAGCCAACATTGCCTTCACAGCATCAAATTTTGTTAGGACATAGTAGACATGCAGAAGGCAACTTTGAAAAAATTAATGAACTTTTGAACTAAATAGATTTCTCCTGGTTTGTTTTTTTTTTTTGTATAGTGTAAAACCTTTCTCTTCAATAAGTTCAATAGGTCTTTTTATTAAATTTTCATTAAACTGAAGTTTAGCTATGTCTCCAAGGAATTACCGAGTCAAAGCAGATCAAGAATATCCTACTGGGTCGTGCACTGCTCCTCACAATGTGGAATATGGACAGCGCCAGAGAGAGCCAAATAAGCACGTATAATGGAATTTACAATCACAAAGAACCTGTTGTAAAGCTCACACTGTTATTTTTATTTACATATTCTCGGAAACAAACAAACAGTGTTCCTTAAACGGTATTCACAGCATTAGTAGTATGAACACTTACATGAATGCTGGAAAATCGTCAAAATCAGCCCTGAATCGGATGAACTGTGTGACAAAAGGAAGAACTGCATCTTCCGGACCAATAACGCCGCCGAGATCAACACAACGACCTGGGTCCCCAAACTGGAACTCGCCCACTCGCTCCGGACTCACCACGGCACAGATAACCGGGCTTAACTTGACGCATTTCAGGAGGACGACGACAAGGGAGATACCATAATTTCATTCATGAAGGACTTGATTAGAGTCGCTGGGCAAAGCCGCTGTCAAAGGTGTAGTTGTGGGGACGGACCGGATGGTAGTGATGGTATCATCTGTTTTATTGACGATGAACAGTGTGTAGTTAGCATAAGGGTATGTTTGGGTGTTTTAAGTGGTTTTGGGTGTAAAGGTAAAAGGTTGTATGGTCATTTAAAGCAATTTGGATTCTCACGTGACCCATCATGTGCGCCTTCACGGTCAAATTCAACTGGCGTATCATCGGACGGGGTTAATTGCACCAAATTGATTAGTTCAGGGGGGTTATATGTCAAATTAGTAGATCAGGGGAGTTTTTAGCAAAATGGCCAATAATTAAAGGGGTTTTTTTTACACTTTACCCTTATTATTATTATTATTTATTTATTTTTGGCGACAAAAATTAAGGCAGAACGAACATGGACCTATAATGTTGTCCCAGGCTCGAATAACAAAATTAATATTTTATATAAATAAAAGAGATCTTACCGTATAGACTTACTAACGTTCACTAGTAAGTGACTGGTTCTCTAAGCCTAATGGGAAACGATGAAAATCAAGTGTCACATATAGGACCAAAGTTACTAATGTCAATAATGTTAATGCAACAATGATACTATGTCAGTGGGATTGGATAACAAAATTAATTATTTTAATGCAAGAACATTCTACCAACTAACCTTATTTTAAGTGGTAGCAAATTTATTAAAGTTACAAGATTGCCCTTCACTGAAAAACAACTTTTTGTTTAAATCAATATAATAACAGCCTCTAAAAGAGCTGGGTGGTTTTTGTTCTTAAAATCTATGTTGCTTTTTATCTACGTAGGAACTTGGAATGTGGTCATGAATTTCTATCCATGCATTGAATAAAATGATTCTGTAATTTGACCTTTGAAAATTTGGCAATTGACAAGAAAACGTTCTTTATGTGAAATACATGTACTGGGTCCAATATTTTGTTATAATATTGGAGGGGAAATTAAAATTACATTATTTTTAAAATTATAAACTAATCTCTGTGGCTCCAATATGGAATTCCGAAATGAGAAGAAATTTCTATTAATTTATTTTTTTGGATATAATATTGTAGAAAGGATGAACGGAATGATTTTTTTTTATTTATTTATTTTAGTTGGATGGAAGAGAATGAGATTTTTTATAAATTTTTACCAATATACCCTTATTACACGTGAGAGAATTTCAATAAGGTTTTAACAAGTTATTTTGTAAGTAATTAAAAATTAAAATTTATATTACATATTTGTAGGTAACTCTCTAATTTTTTTTTTTTTTTTTTTGGTTTTCTCTCTTCTCTTTCACTCAATTTTAGACGGATAAAAGACTTCCTAAAAAATAGGTTAAGGTGATGTTTCATCCCTTATAGTTTCCTCATCTCTTTCGATCAAACAAACAAAGTTTCTTCTATCTTCCCACATTCTTCCATTCTTTCTTCCAAACAAAATTACAAATTTTACCTGCACACGGAAAGGCGAAGAAAGTTGGTGGAAAATGAAGTATCCATTAATTAGAATAATAATAATAATAAATCCATTAATTGACTATTTCAATTTTTGTTTCCGTGAAGCAAGCGAAGTTTTAATTTGTTTATACTTATTAACGCACATCCAAATTTGATTTTAATATATTGTTTTTCCCAGTAAGCATTGAAAAGTTGAATTTGAATTTGAATTCAGGGAATGAAAGAAAGAAGAGGGCTCACTCCTCCCTCGTCAAGGATATGGGGACCATTGATGGTTTAGGTTGCCCCCACAAAATGACATAAAAGTCCACTATGTCACCTCAGAGTTGATGTTAACATAAAGAGTGTACCTGTACTATCCTATGCCGCAATGGTTAAGATGACAAAATAGCCCTTCCATTTCGGCTCTTATTTCTTAGAATACCACAAAGTAGGTTAGTAGAAAGTGATGAAATAAAGAATTGATTACTTTACTTTTTTTTTGATTTAAAAATATCAACTAGTGCAAGAATATATTGTGAATATTTTAAAAAATTGAAAGAAAATATGAGTGTGTTTGAGAGAATCGATTATGGAGTGAAAAAGATAAATAATTATCTTTTAAAATCAAAAAAATCAATAGGGACATGAACATGAAGTGAGGTATTTTTATAAATTGAGTGGGGGGCATTATAAAAATTTTAACAAAAATAGAGGTAGTAATATAAATAAAAAAAAATTTATATTTAACACAATATAAACATCACATAATTATTATAAGAATAAAATAGTTATAGCGTAATTCGTTTAATAAATGAATCAAATAACATATGAATATTACAAGTTCAGCTAAATTGATAAATTCTAACATGAATACAATATACTTATTTGATGTATTTAGTTAAACAAGTTAATGAAACACAAATCACTATGATTGAAATACGCACAATACACACACACCTGCAGTGTTTTACACACAAAACACACACCTGCAATGCTTTTCAATCGTAATTCTCTACGACTGGACAATGGTTGCTTGTGTGGCTTATCATCCCCATTTTTCATGCAATTTATTCAAGAGGAGTGCCAATGGAATTGAGCACTGTAGTGGTATTGATAGGCATGTTTATGTTTTATTTATTTGACTTTTGGTAATTCATTGCATCAGTGATGACACAAGGCATTTATGAGTTAGGTCAATTTGATGGTGCTAATTCTGGTTGGGACCCAATTGTCCTTTCCAGACCATCAGTGCCAGTGGAGTTGTGGATAATAGACTGTGCTAGCTACCCAATTGATTGTACCCAATTCTTCTGTTGATTGGATACACAGATTGCAAGTGAGAGACATGGTGATACATATATTTGATGCTAACATAACAATACTATGAATTCTCAACTTACATATACGCAGCCGAAGCTGCCAGCTTTACATGATGTCTACTTTGTCTGCATTTTCACAATATTTTATGTATCTAATTTGTCTTGCCACACAGTGACATCTTAACTGGCTAAGCAATGACATGATTCAAGTGGATTTTTTTTTTTTTTTTTTTTGGGGAAATTCAAGTGGGCAGATTGGTGGGGTCAGGAAGGATTTCTTCATTTCTTGGTAAAATGTTGTTTTTCATTTTCATTTTTAATGATTCATTTCCTAGTTTTAGATGGGAATGTTAACCGTCCAACGCCAATGAACTCAGGTCAATCGGAGTGGCTTTTGTGTTTTTACGAGCTGGAACGACTAGAAAGCAAAATTATGCAAAGAACACAAAACAAGAACTATTCTTGAATGACTCAATACAAATTCACACATTTGTATGTGTGTAGCTTTATAAAGTGTTACACCTTTAACCAACTGTTCTACGCCTTTGGAACTTTAATGGATCTAAGATTTCAAAATCTAAAGAATCAAAATGTTGACCAACTCCATCGCTAATTGAACTCAATCAAAAGACGTTCCAACGACCTTCCACAAAACGCACTCATTTAAATGCCATGAAAAACACAAACTTCATTAGGATACGTAACTAGCTAGTAGCAATATATATATATATATATATATGCACCCATGTCATATATATATATATATATATATATATATATATATATTTAGCATATACACGAGCACAAGCAATATAAATGCCTTCTTTGGGTTCATTTAAGTAGTATTTTGTCAAAAAGTATTCAAAATGAATTTAGAAGCAAATACATTAATAATAGGCACAATCAGAGTTCTACAACAGTTGATTATTATTATTTTCTAAATATTATAATGGCAGGGAAGTTCCGTTTTGTTTTGTTTTGTTTTATTTATCTTATTTTTATTTTTGTTTGGGTAATTAAGACGAATTTCCTTGTGACCAGCGCGCCTTAGCAGTTAGCACCAAATAAATAATAAAATTTATAAAGCATGAAAATAAGTGAAGTCACAGAGAGTGAGTTTGTTCACAACTTTATTGATATGTTGTAAAGAGTTTGTCAAAAATTTAATTTTCCTTTTGTGGCTAAAGTTATTCTTCCTCTGCAAATATTTTTTTTTTCTTCTGTTCCTTATATTGAAAAATAATAATTTTTTATTTTGGAAGGCAATAAAGAATCACTATGCTATGATCTTTGGTTTTTGTGTGCACATAGATTGTTGAAAAGAAATGTAATAGAATTGAAATAGGTCTTAGATTTAACAAGAGCTAGAATTTAGCTATTTTTCTCATTCTTGTGGGAATATTGTAGGTTGGCAACCAATTTTTGTGGAAATTGTTAAACCCCATCTTTTGTAATTGGCTATTATTCACAAAGATAATGAATTGATCCAAGGGAAAAAAAAAATAATTTATTGCTCTGGAGCTAGGTGAACGGGGTTTAGAACCGTTTCCAACGGCTCCTAAAAATTTGGAACCATAAACGAAACCATTGGGAAGGGTTTTCATTTCGGTTCTTAACCGATTCCATAGTTCCGATTCCCTTTTTTTTTTAACCTCCTCATAATATGCAAAATGCGCAATTATCCCCTATTGTTCGGAAAAACCCCATTGCTGTTTTTAATTTGTGCAAATAAGGATAAATCATAACTTTGGTGATAAAATTAATAAATTAACCTTACTTTATCATTAGAAGAAAAAAAAGGGACAAAAGACAAAATATCAAAATTACCCTTAAAGTCATAACATAACAGTAATTTTTTTTTTTTTCTTCATAGAGTACGTGTATCAGCTCCACAATATATGTACCATTCAAGTCAGGAGTGCAGTTCAAAAGCGAAATCTCAAGAACTTATCTCCTGGATCCCTACCAATGCCGATATTACCCTTAAAGTCATAACATAAGAGTATAAGAATTATAAATCAATGTCTCAATATTTAAAACAAATTGGAATGTGGGTGTCTAGTGACCTTTTACCAAATTGAACCATTTTCCTTCCAATACATCAAGAATATCTATGTATAAATCTAGTTGCTAAAAATAAAAATTTATAGGCCTAAGTCACTAACTACATGTCAATCACACTTATCAATAATATAATTTTTTTTAACTGCATTTTATCCCACTTATCAATGATTTTTGAGAAATTGTGCTTGAAAAAGTTAATAGTAAACCGACTACGGAAAAAAAAAGAAAAAAAAGTTAATGGTAAACTCAAAAAGTTTGTCTCGCGTGATGTTAAAGCCTTGTGCTTGTTTATTATAAAGAATAGAAAATGATAAAAATATTGACATTATATAATATAAAATAAAATAAACAATTTAAAAAAAAATGTGTTGCTTGAGTTTGTGTCTAGCCAAGGAGTAACTAGATCAAAATTTTAATTTTGATAGAAATCCTAAGTTCATCTAATAACAATTTGTGTCAAAACAAATTTATTTATTTAATTATTATTATTATATATAAATATACAATTAAGGGAGGCTCATTCATTTATAAGAAAATATAGGGAGGAGATAATATTGGCAGTGATAGAAAAATTTTAGAGGAAAAATAAAATAAAAAGAGAGATAATATTGTCGGCCACAAAAAATATTTTAGAGAGAATATCGAGGTGGGGAGATATTTTAGAGAGAATATATATTTTTTTAGAAAAATAAACTATGGCTATACACTGAGAGTTTCTTCCAGCACATCCAAACAAACCCATTTAGGGTTCAAACATATACAAAATTAGTAGCCACACAAAGTGGCACTGTTGAAAGTGGCACTTTTGAAACCAACTGTTCTTTTTTCAACTAATCCATTCAATAGGGAGCAAATTGCTCAAAAGATGAATAATACAAGGATTTATATACATTTTTTTTTTTCTTTTTAATAGAGATATTTCTTGCACATTTTTTTATATAGCAATTTTTTTTTTTTTTTTTTTGCACTTAAGCCTTTATTTTATATTATCTTATTATAGGCATCAATATGTATATATAATTATTCTTGGAATCAAAATCGGTACTGAAGCATCGATTTCACAGGTTCTTTGTACACCCCTAAATCATATCCCTACTAGATTAATAAACTGAGGCAGGCTTCAAAATTTATCCATACTTCAAAAAAAAAAAAAAAAAAATCTTTCGAAAAGGCATATTTAATTTTTTTGTTCACTCCTTATTTTGTGAAATTGTTAAAATAATAAAAGAATAAAGAAAATACATATTTAGTTTTTTTTTACCCTACTTCATTAACTCATTCTTGAATTGCGAATTCATTATTTATTAATTTGTAATCCAACTGTGAGATTAAAAAATTAATTCAATTATCAGGGATTAAATTTAGATTGAATTGATTCCACGAATTTGGGACCAAATGAACATCCCTATGTTTTATATCACGGGTTAAACATCCACTGCCTTTACAACATGCCAAGTTGCAGTTCTAATTTTGTTGTATATATAACATAAGTAAAGATTACTCTTTTTATCTTTATTTACATGTGGGAAAAGATAAAACACCCCAATTGTGAATGGGAGTGAACCGGTGAAGTATTATTATTATTAATTTTTTACCAAAATAATAATTGAGGGAATTTTTAAGAACCGTGACAATTATTATATAGACTAAACGATGATCAATTTTAACCTTTTTTACAATTAAAATAATTGAATTTATATATATATTGTATATTTCAAAAAATATATAAATTAAAATTAAAATTAAAATTCGCTTAGGTTGATGCCAATTGGGTTTGTGGCTTGAAATTAAAATTAGTTTTCATTTTTGTTTGGAATACTTTATTTTAGAATTGTGATTTATTTGGTAACTTTTTATAGTGAAGTTGTGGAATTCATGTAGGAATTGAAATTTAAAAACTTTATAAATAGAGAAGTAGAGAAAGAAAGAGACAATTGTAAAGTATGAGTTGAATTTGGGCGAGAAAGAAGGTTGTAGATAGTTGTTCTTTGAACTACATAAATATATCTCGATTTGCTAATTTTTTCAAAGTAGTGAGGGGGTAATTCAGTCATTCCAGAACTTCAGTTCATTAGTCGCCGTCGTACAAAGGAAACCGTTAATCTAATCCGGCGGCTGCCCATCATCATCGTCGTCATCATTAGACTCATTGCCCCCATCCAACGACCATACATACATAAACACACACATTTGACCAAATATTTACAGACACATACATTCATACATGCACATTTTGACCAGCTTTACCCGCACATGATATATAGTATAATATTATAATATTCATATAGCCCGCAGCTAACCCACTCTATATAACACCCATCCCTGCTGCCGTTCTCTTACTCCAAACCAGTTCCATTTCATTCCAACCTAAACCATACCCATACTTAATAAAACTCCAAACAAAGACAATGGGAGAGGTTAGTCCCTGAACAGTCTTCTAATTTTCCCAACTCTTCCATTTAATTAAATTTTCATCACAATTTTAGGTACAATTAGTCGCTAAATGTTTCTTTAATTTTATTTCTGTTCCAGAAAGATGCACCAAAAAGTGATGGAGAGAAGAAGGCCGACGCCGGCTCCGCCGTCGTCTTGAAGATTGACATGCATTGTGAAGGCTGTGCCAGGAAAATCAAACGATCAGTTCGTCATTTTGAGGGTAACAATTTATATATATTTGTATCAATTTATACACAAGGACACACTATACTATACATCATCTAAATTTTTATCAATCAATAAATTAAATCTGTTTTTCGGTTATAAATGTGAAGAATGAAAGCTTTTCTGAGCTCAAGAGGAACTAAATTTAGATCCGCATTTGATGCTCAAATATTTCCTAGTAGTTTTGATAAATTCAATTTTCTGACATTTTGCTTGGTGGATGAATTCAGGTGTTGAGAGCGTGAAGGCGGACGTTGGGGGCGGCAAACTGACGGTGACGGGGAAGGTGGATCCGGCCAAACTTAGAGATAGAGTGGCAGAGAAGACCAAACAGAAGGTGGAAATCGTCTCTCCTCAGCCCAAAAAGGATGCCGCCGCCGCTGGTGGCGGTGGAGATAAGAAGCCCGAAGAGAAAAAATCTGACGACAAGAAGCCGGCGGGCGATAAGAAGCCCGAAGAGAAAAAAGCTGACGACAAGAAAGCGGTAACCTTCTAACCTGCGCCCGTGTGTCTATTGTCATGCTCCTGGCTAACATGCGCTATATGAGCCCGTGGGTTTGCCGACAGGATTCTGTCTAAATTGCACTGGCGCATACAGCGCATGTTAGCGTTTCCCAAGTCTGAAGTATGATTTTTGTGAAACATTTTCTGTACAAGAGTATTAATTTGAGCCACAAACTTGTATTACTTGTTAGTTGATGCTTAGATTAATTTAGTTTTGTATTAAGTTTTCAACTAATTTTGTTTTATTGTTTAATTTTTTATTTGTGGCGGTTGTTGTGTAGGTTTCCGCAAGTACGGTGACTTTGAAGATTCGGTTGCATTGTGACGAATGTACAGATAAAATAAAACGAATCATATCGAAAATTAAAGGTAAAAATTCCCAACCTTTTATTTAATTTAATCAAATCATTTATTAGATAATTTTGTTTGAAATATATTAATTTAATCAACTATGCTACATGCATATGTAATCATCTTATCTAATTGATATTAATTAATTCCTCTGTCACATTTTAATTTGAAATAATGCATCATTAATTCTGACCTATAACATTACTGAGACAACTTGGTAATAATTGTTGGGTCAAATATCATTTTCCTTTCATTGTGACGTCTTTTTACATGTTTTTTTTTAACAAATAATTCACACACTCGTCTTCATATGTGGTGATTAAATGGTACCATGATCAGGTGTAGAGTCGGTGACCGCAGAAAGCAAGAAGGATTTGGTCATGGTGAAGGGGTCAATGGACGTGAAGGAGCTCACTAAATTGAAAGACAAATTGAAGAGGAGTGTGGAGGTTGTCCCGGCTAAAAAAGAAAATGCACCAGCTAAGAAAGCCGATGGAGGCGGTGAGAAGAAGGCAAAAGAAGGTGGTGGTGACAAAAAAGAAAATGCACCAGCTAAGAAAGCTGATGGAGGCGGTGAGAAGAAGGAAAAAGAAGGCGGTGGTGACAAAAAAGAAAATGCACCAGCTAAGAAAGCCGATGGAGGCGGTGACAAGAAAGAAGGCGAGGCAAAGGCCGCTGGTGGCGGTGGTGGTGATGCGACCAAGAAGGAGGAGCCGAAGGTTGAGGTGAACAAAATGGAGTACCATGGGTACCACCCTCAGTACTCGTATTATAGTGCACCTGCACTTGCATATAATCATGGTTACATTAATGAGGGTTATGGTGATCTTGTACCCCAATTTAATCAAGGATATGCCAATCAGGGTTACGGCATGGACTATCCACCATCATACCCGACTCATGTTGTGAACTATCCACCATCATACCTGCCTCCGTACCCGACTCATGCCCCTCAAATGTTCAGTGACGAGAATCCTAATGCATGTTCTGTGATGTAACTCTATGCAAGTGGTGATGAGGAGGTCAATATTGTAAAAGACTTTGCTACATAGGCCGAGGACTTCCTCGATATAAATGGTCCTGCCTGGGACTTCGGATGAAGTCCGGTTAAAGAACCATTTTCCACTTGTAAATCATAAAGCATATAGCGAGGAAGCAATTAATTAAGTATATGCAAAGTTTGAGTATATACAAGAATATGTGTAGATGAGGTCCATGAGGACATTTGATATAAACAGTTTCATTTATTTATTAGGTATGGTTATTATTTCCTTAACTTGTTTGTTTCTAACTCGGTGGTTATAAATTAAATTCAATTTTGTGGTATTTATTAATATATGAATGCAAGATTTCCAAATCAAGATGGTGAATAATGTTGTAGCCTAGTGTTGGCTGCGCATGGACTGTTTCTTTATCATGTGGTCCCTTTTTATTTTGTCCAATTGTTTTAGTATAAAGATTTTGTTCAGGTACCGTATCATTTGAATGTGGTGGTAGTGGAGTTAGCACCATCATGTTAACACATGTGATTGGATTATTTCTCAAATTAATGACACACAGGTGGGTTTTTTTATTATTATTTTTTAATGTATAATTATTTGTCAATAGGCCAACGTGTGTTGTGACCTAAATTCTCGGTGGCATAATGGGATAGTCCAATGTAGTTTGTGGGCTTGAAAGTAATATTAGACAAATAATTCTAAGACTTTGAAGTGTTTTGACTTGGTTGTCAATATGTGAATGTGTTGTTTTGTGTCATAATTTAGCTGGAAAGGAAAGAGAGAACTGTGAAGTGGGGAAAAATTGATGCCTCCATAATAATATAGTAGGTTAATGTTAATAACAATGACTCTTTGCATTTACTAATTAAACTTCTAACACTTTTTACAATAAAAAAAAAAATGTTAGAGAAAAATTATAAATCATCTCATAAGCTCCCAAATAGTAATATAGTTATATTTAATCTTAATCCTAAGCATTTTTTTTTTTTTTTTTTTTTTTTTTCTTTTTTGTCTAAGAAATAGAATCTGTTATGGTCCATGCAAAAAAATTGTTGAATTTTACAAAAAGTAACATAATTAAATAAAGACTTGTGCTAATTGCATTGAAATCTTCGAGCATAATGAAGTGATACTCAACATGAATCTCATTTATTATATTAGGCAAATGAACGCTATTCGGCCCGAGAATTTCAGGACAGATCCTCGACTTCAAAAGCATCTCTATTATATCATGTAGATGCAAATAAATATTGTTCAGCTGAGAATTCTAGTGCAAATCCCTCCGTTTGTTTTAACGTAAAATATATTTTTTTAAAAATATATATTTTTTAGGTAAAATATTTTTTTATTTTTACTTTTTCGGTGTTTGGCAAAGGTTTACGTCGAGGTTGAGGTCGAATCCATCGTGCGAAACATGTCAAATAACTTGCTGAAAATTGATGAATAAGTTATTTTTGTTAAATTTTAATATATTTTTTTTCATACATATTTTACGACAATCAAATACCAAAAAATTAAAAAAAATATTTTAAGTCCAAACAAACGGAGCTTAAAAGCATTTATCTTAAATAACTCCATAAATTCTATCAAAATAAGGATGAGCAGTGATGCATCCGCTGAATTGAGTATGTGAGTAGGAGCGTAGTGGCATCCTCCCAATTCGAAGTATGTATCATTTTCTGATAAGAATACATATTTGGAGATAGAGACGGTCCGACGGATTTAAAAAATTGTGTGAAGCAGTACATCAGGATAGTCGGTGCCTACTAGGATCCGGCAATGGAATATTCAAGTAGACAAAACTGAAGGAAATTTGTTTGTTGTTTGTGATAAAAAATAATAATAATAATGAACATATTTTTCTAATAATTAAAGATCGAGTTTGTATTTTACATTAATTTTTTTTTTTTAAATAATGCCATGACATGGTGTCTTACACGACCTCCTCATATTAATTATCATAATGCATGCTCTCTTTTTTTCCTCATTTCTCCAAGATCAAATGACCTTTAAAAGCTTCAAATAGCTACATATGAAATCTTAGTACACTATGGTCTCACCAAAAAAACCAAAGGTGACTCTGCCCCTTCATGAATATAAAGGCTAAGCAACTAATTAAAGGAAATTTTGGCTATTAACTCGTTCTTAGAGCCACATTAAGATTTATGTTTATAATTAAGAAAACTACGTACACAAGTTAACAGATACATGATACGATAAAAATTGGTAAGTAAAACTATATATTAGCTAGTAGTAATTTCGAATATATGACTATTTATTATGCTCAAAAAAGTTATTTAAACAAAACAACATTTTTTATGAAATTTAGGTCTGAACATGACACATATATACGTTCACATTTAGTTATAGATCACGCGGGCAAGTTCATCCAAGAACCATAATCGTCCAAGGGAAAGATGGGGACTATATATGTATATATGTATTTATGTCAAGTCGAGTTTGTCAAATGTCACTTGAGAAACCTTTTTTTTTTTTTTGGCCTAATACAGTTGAAACCATGCTTCAGAACCTGCCATTTTACGATGGACCTACACTAGGGTTGTGCTAAAGTCGGCATTATAGAATTGTCATGAATAGAATGATTTACACCTACACTAGGGTTGTGCTAAAGTCGGCAATATAGAATTGTCATGAATAGAATGATTCACACACGCGCATGTATGATACTAGGATAATGTTTAGTTATTTACTTGTGAGCAAGGTGAAGCTACTCCCTCTTATTTGGTCCAATAATAAAATAACACATCATATTTAATAATAAAATAATTCACATCTAAAATCACAATATTCGTTTATTCAATAATTAATCCAAAAAAATAAAAAAATGTGTGAATTATTTTATTATTAAAAGTGATATGTTATTTTGTTATTAGACTACATAAGAATAGATAGTTTCACCCTAGTCACTGATAAATAGCTAAGTATTCTCCGTAATGTTATAAGATTTGAACCACTGCATACTCCACCCGTGTTGCTTTTTGAACTCGATTTCATCACAGAATTCAATATATAATGCATGATGTGTAAATATTGTTAGGTATTATATATTTTCATACAGTTCGATATGTTGGAGAGATGACAGATTAATATTGCATCAATTGGGATTCGACAGCTACCCAATTAGCTGACTCGATTAACTGTAGCAATGCGACTCCACATCTGCAATTATGTCATTAATGTACAATAATAATTAAGAGTCCCTGTAAGCCAAATAAAAACTTGTTCTTAGTTGGATTATAGCTGATGAAGTGGTGGTGCTTACGTTCGATTCATGCCACACCACCTAACCTAAATCAATATCTAATGAAATTAAATTTAAACTAAACCAATTAACATTTTTTAGTTACATTTTATATCCTGAATGAATATTAAATTATTAATTTAACATGCTCATCTATTCGTCACATGCCATGCATTCCTCATAACATGAATCTTTTATATATTATTTGAAAAAGTATATAATTTTGGGCAATTCATTTTAATACTTCAATTTTACAGAAATTCTCTGAATTAATATTAAGAAAAATAATAAGCTCGTTACAAGAAAATTAAGTTGGCAACATTCTAATGAACCAAAGTCACTTATTTTTTTTTGAAGTTCTTCATTTGGTAAATTGGTCTATTATCAAATTAACTTTTTGTGACCAACTTTTCTCAGATGTCATTTTTAGAATTAATTATTGCATTCAAGATAAGAGTAGTGAAATTTGGAAGATTAACTCACTTTTTCCTTTGGTTACGTAGGTTTAGTTCACTTTAAACATTTTATTTATTTATTTATATATCATTTTGGCATAATAACTTCAATTATTGTACTTGATGCCTATAACTTCAATTATTGTTGTTGATGTTATTGGGCGGGCACCTTTTCAGAATCTCGATCGTTTCACATGTCACACCAACATTTTCTTTATTTTATTTTTTTGGCAAAGACATCATGCCAAAGTACTGTAAAATATGAAAGAAAAGTCAGAAAATTAATATGCAAGAGCCTTTAAAGATAAGAGATAGAGAACGAGATAGTACAACACAAAACTAATTTTCTATTCTCATCGCAATTCCATAATTTCTTAATTAAATATAACAGTAAAAAAAAGTTCTACAACAAAGTAGCTGGTATATATATATATTACAGCATAGCTTCAGAACAGTAAGTTATTGATCTGTGGGCTAATTAAGTGGATTTTACTCTACTAATCTACTTGCGTTACTATAGTTTTCCCCGAGATTACTTAAACAAATGAAGGGGCAGACATTAATTAATATTGTATAATAAGAATCAAAAGAAGTTTCGATCGAGAAGGATTGCTAAAATGATATACTAACCACTCTATCAAAACAAGTGGTAATATTATATATATATAATAAATCCAAACCCATTTAATCAAATCAAATCAAACCATCAACTCTTTGGTGCATGTTAAAGAATATTGCCACCATGACATTGATGAAGCTAGGCAACAGATTTGAATAATTAGTGCTGAATATTCTAGATAGTTATTAATTAGATATAACCTGCTTAGTTAATCTAATCATGACCATGCCTTAATTTGGCTTCTAGAAAACAATTAGGCTCAGAAATTAACTATATGCAACAAAGAGTTGATGGTTTGATTTGATTAAATGGGTTTGGATTTATTTCTAGGGTTTGAAAACGGGTTAAACTTCTTATATATATATATATATATAGCAGCCACCAAGTGGGTGAGTTACAAATCGTTATTATATTATGTTGGCATCTATATATGCATGTGCATGTGTGGCATATGTGATAATGCATGAGGATGGGCATGGAAGGCTATATACTATTTGTACATATATATATATACACACACACAGTATAGGTCATGTATGTATGTCTCTCATACAGTATTAGTCTAATAGTATGAAATGCGTTCGGGTTAGTTTTGGATCATTGCATACGCAAGGTAGCAGCCAGACATGAAGGGGACGTGAGTGGGTCCCAATCCACGTCATTCTCGCATGGCTCAGTGTTGAGGTTTGAATTTGCAAGCCTACCTCGTGCGTTAGGACTCTTTTTAGCAAATAATGTCAACAAACCTTTTTACCATTAGAGGGACTATTCATAGGAGTTTTAATAGTCAAAACATGAAAACGTTTGATGTGTTATGGAGACTACTAAATGTGTTATTTACTACATTTTTACAATCCACGTGCGTCCCACGTTTTTTCTTATGTGGTCAAAAGCCACACCGCATGAATTGGTAGTATGTCTCGGAGAACACACACAGTGGACAGATATACACACATATATGTATAGATCGTCAAAAGTAAGTTTGTTTTTGATTGCAGTCTCAACGCGACGAGTCATGAGAGTTGAATTCTTGGAATAATAGGTTTCCTTTTTGACTTTAGTTATTGCATGTAGATGTGGAAAAGCTCTCCAATAGTCGTTAAATGTTTGGTTGAATGAATACACGGAAGATTGAAAATTGCACCACGCCCCTTACCATAGTGTGGTTGGTAGGCTGGTAGCAGCATTTTTTAATGTATTTTAATATATTTATTTTATATTTTAACTTATAAAATAAAAGTATTGAAACATAATTTGTGTGTGTTAAAATAAAAAAATTAAAGGGTGTTTCAATACAATTGAATCCTTTTTTAATACAATTATTATGAATTGACCCATAGAACTTATATTGAAATTTAAATAAATGTGTTCGAAATAAAATTTACGGCAAACTACAATAAGGATGTGTTACAGGCTTACAACAAAAAATCCAAAGTAAAAATATATTTTAATTTCAGACATGTAGAATGGTCTAGGTTCGCGTGTTTACTATTATTCCATGGGCCTAGACTTATATATTACAAGTTCTAGAAATGACTCGGGGAGCATATAATAATAACATGAACAATTGCCTTCATACTTGAACCAATTTTCTCATATTTTTGTGAGTCCTATTAATTAGTAGAATGTGTGGGTAGGACTTTCGACCCCGAAGACACAATCATACAACGAATTATATAATATATATATATAAATACATAAGAGTTCCGATAAACAAATACATGAATTATCTGTGAAAGCCCAAACATGACATCAATATTGGACTCAGATAGTCACGGGCTTGGTCCAGAATCAGAACCATCAGTGAGCACGAGCTTAACCCCGTTGTTCTTGAGTGCATTAACCAAAGCCCAAACCTTAGTACTATTTTTGAGGCCCATTTTCTGAATCTCTTTGTTGACATCCGCGTGAATCCCACGGCCCAACCCCTGGTGAAGGCCCTCCACCTTCAGCCGCATCGCCAACACCTCTCCGACGGCGGCCGCCGCCTTCGCGTTGCCGGCGCGGCCACACTCGAAACCGTCTTTGAGCGCGTGTTCCACCGTCGACGCCGATGCTACTATCCTCCCGTTGTTTCGGTCCATCACGTTCGCCGTTATGTATTTGATGGACATAAATAGCCTCAGCACATACCTCTGCATCACCACAGTCATTTCTCTCCCCGTCTCTCAAATCCTAGGGTTTTGCTACATAGTTGCAGTCGTCATGAATCATGATTCGATTTCTAATTTCTAGGGTTTACCTACCCCCACCACCTGTACGGATAAATTTGGTGTAAAATTGTCTGGGTCCCACAAATGAACGGTTCAGATTCCTGATGGGGAACAATCCAATGGAGGAATACCACGTCGGTCTTTTCGAAATTGAGAGAAGAATGATTCACCAATGAAAAGTGTATGCATCAACGTCAAATTCAATTGTGAATATGAAGATTTGACGATGACGCCATTGAAGCGTCGAACCTCGAAGTCACAGATATTAAGGAACCATCGAGAGATATGGAGAAGAGCGAGTGAAAATGCTAGACGACGACTCACCCACCTTTCTCTTCTTCCACTACCTCATCGTCTTCATCTTTCTTCTCCTTCTCTTGAAACTCACCATCGCAATCTTCTTTCTACTCCTCCTCTTCCTCCTCTGCTCGGATCTGGTTCACCTCCTCTTTCATCTCCTATGTCCTCCTTAACAACCCCCAATTCAAACACCCCCACCGAAACAGTAGTAACTTATTTTCTCTCTCTAAAATTGATGCGTGATTGAATTTATGCAAGTTAGGGTTGTGGTGAAGGGGCGGGTTCAGGGTGTGTTTTCTAGGGACGCGACGGCGGAAAATGCGAAGGAGTTAGGGTTAAAACTTAAAAGATTGCGTTGGCAACTGGAGATGAGCAGCGGTGCCGCCGTGGACCGCCAGCCGCAAAACCGGTCTCGAGGTTTCCCTTTGCTGCGATGGTCACGGCACCGGATTCGAACGCAGACCGTCTGATGAAATGATTAAACGAATCCAAGGCTAGAGTAGGCTGAGTAGCACTAGAATAGCATGCAAGTATTACTAGTACAGTCGTTTTACTTTTTATTTTAACTTGTATTGGGTACATTATCTGCCCGTATTTGTAAATTTTCATTTATAAAAACTATCATTGTGCCTTTTTTGAATGGTGCAAGCTGCAAAACGCTTACTACATGCAACTTGCTTGTTCAGTGTAGCCAATCGAGCAGTTTTTATTCACAAGCACGTGACTCCACTGAATCTTAAATCTTTAACCCCTTTTGGCCTTTTGGGAAGTAAGGGTCTAGTATGCTAGCCTTGCTAGGGGGTCCTTATATCCTTCGTGACAAAAAAAAAAATATGATGACAATGATGATGTTAATGATGAGACAATGATAAACAAGGTAAATGAGTTAGAAAGTTATTAGACGACGTTGTAAGAGATGGGGCAAACCAAGTATTGTATTTTGAAAATGACTTAGCTGCTCTAACCATCAAAAGTAGGTCATGGACAATTTGATACAAAATGGAAGGGACATGAAATAGCTGGAAGCAATGGCAACAAGAAGGGACCTTCTACTGTGTTAGCTGTTCAAAGTGTAGTAGACCCCATCAGTGCAGATATTGACAGGGTTTTAATATCAAAGGAGCAAATTAATTGATGAGATAAAGCAGCACATGCAATGGCCCCAACTCAATCTCTATCTCCTCCAACTAAAATACTTTCTTCTGATTCACATTTTCATAAATGCCACGGTGTGTCGTGTGTGTGTGTGTGTGTGAGAGAGAGAGAGAGAGAACTTCAAAAAAGCCCCTTGGAAGTGAAAATTACAATCAGAAAAATTAAAGAAAAACAACTAGGAGTATTGCCGTGCAGAAGCCAATGAAAAGCAGAACAACTATTTAAGAGCCATGTTCACCTACATTTTCTTAATTTGATCTTTTGTTAGATGTTGAAACAATTATAGAAGTTCCAAAACAACATAATAAAAGAACTTCAATTTTCTCCATCTTCGTATTTTGATGACTGCAAACAGAGAGATTCAGCAAATATTTGAATGGCAACTATGAAATTTCATTCACACCTAAAAAAGGCATCCACTATACAAATGTTTATGATAATTTTGAGTTGATTTCTATGATTGCTTGCAAAGTACTTGTAATATATGAAGGAAAGATTGAATACTTGCAGCTCAAAACCAGAACTCTTCATTCTTATAATAGATTTATTGATCATAGATATCATCATTATGTCTTGTATTAGTTATAATACAGAAGATATTACTCTACTCTACTCTAGTTCTGGGTAAGACAGCCTTTGAACAATCCTAAAGAAAAGGACACACCATTTAACAGCATCACACCAAAAGGCCTAAATCTTTTGGCCAACCCACAGACCAGCTACATGAATGCGGTTTTGGAACTTCAATAACTTCCTGTGATAAACAAACATTAAAAGAAGCAAGCCTGTTTTGTTACAAAATAACTCCTGTAAATCAAATATCTAACTCCTCTCTTTGTCGGCGGGAGGTGGGTAAAGAAAGAAAAAGAAAAGAAAAATCAATTATCTAACTCAGCTCATGCCGAAATATCTTTTTGAATGAAAAATTAAGACCATTCTCATCACGTTTTCAGTACCCCGCCACATGTAAAGTAAAACAGGGGAAATGACAAATCAGATGTTGCAATTAATGATATTACAGTTGCAACCATACTAAATAGACCCATGCTGACTTTCAGAGAAATTTCCTCTATATGACTATCACCTCCCTCAACACCCAGTATAAGTCCCTTAATAGGCTCACAAAAAGGATAAGATTCTACGTTTCAAATAATTTCTGTACTACAGTGAGATGTCTAAAGCTAAGAATAGAGAAGAGAGGAATACTAGCTTGATGGTGCTTAAGCTTTTCATTGAAAAGCTACAGAAGGGTATTTCAATGCAATCAAGGTGGCCATATCTCACTGATGTTAGATTTGATGAAGAAACTGAAGTAGCAACAATGGTGCCAGAGGATGTAAAAGAGGGGCAATTTGTGGTCTTTGCAGTCAAGGGTGAGGAACCAAAAAGGTTTGTCATTGAATTGGGCTACCTCACTAATCCTGCATTCTTGGGTTTACTGGAGCAGGCTAAAGAGGAATATGGATTCAGACAGAAGGGCGCCCTTGCAATCCCATGTCGACCAGAGGACCTACAGAAGGTACTGCAAGACAGGAGGGAGAATATTGCTAATGCTAGACACCAGGCTACCTGTGATGACAACATCATAGCTAGGATAATGAACTGATGTTTATTGTAATATTTTAGAGTAACTTCTCCAAGTTGATTAATCTTGCTTGCTTGAGCAGAGATGTGCGCACAGCTTCTCTAATCTTTTCTTCTTTGTTAGTTTAACAATGATTAGTAATCAACTATCTTAAAGAAAAAACAAAATCAGAATCAATAAACCATCATAAATAGAGAAACAAAGTGAGAGGCGTTATTTTTTGAATCATTTTATATTATCGCCTGGTTCCTGTATCTTAAAATAGGACAAGGGACTTACTGTTATGTTTTCTGCATGCTTCTTGTGAGAATCTTTCAACAGATCATAACAGAAACAAAATACAACTATATTTAAATCCTACAATATCACAGATGGGCAACAAGCTTGTTACCATTATGAGGTGGCACCAACCAATCTGAAAATCACTAAAGCACAACTCGGCACAACAAGAAGTTAATTTTCTTTTTTTTAACAATAACTTACGACTTGAATGTTGTAGGGAAGTTGAATAACACAATATAAAAATGTATTGATCTTAATGAAAATAACAGAATGACTTCCAATTGCAGGGTAACATCATGAAACCGTGTCCTCATATGATGTTTAGAATAGGTCGAAGGCTGAAGCGAGACTGCAGGCTGAGGCGCAAGAGGAGATATGATCTTTGGTTACGTTCACATGGCTATGAATTTCTCAAGGATGAGATGCGAACTTGAGATAATCCAAGAGCAAATCCACAGCCACCCGATTTACTCTATTGTTATCCAGAAAGATATTCAAGCTCTATCTGGTCTAGCGGTTTAATGCTTGAACATCAGTGCGATTGGTACAAGATCGGACCTTAGAGGAACCACTTTGTGAATTATCAAAGGTTAGGTCTGTCACGAATCCTCCTAGGACACTGTTGTAGCAGGACCAAAATTGGGTAAGTCCCTTTAATTATAACCTATATGGTTGCACTAGAGATTCTTCACAATTTGCGGGCCTTAAGTGTTTAAACTTACCTTCCATTAAGACAACATGAATGCCAACAGATTCTCAAAACCGGAAGTTGGTTTGGTTGTGAAAGGCAAGGGAACTATTTGGGGTTTGACTTCATTTTTTGCTATGTCATCTTAGCTTCCAGACATTACATATCAACCACACTTTTGGCAAGGTCGCTTGTTACTTTTATGATTGACAATGAAATTTGGATAATGCCAAAACATGGGTTGAAAAGCATCATTATGCTGATTTAAGTCTTTAGAGCAATCAATTGCTCAATTTGTGCAAAAAAATGTCAAAGATTAGGTCCATCCCCAATTTTCCCCTCCCATCATCCCACTAGGCGGGGATAGGTGCTGAATAATGCCCCTTTTCATGAAAATATGGATAAGATCTTTCATTGTGAACATTATCCTAAATCTTTCTTAGTTAAGATAATCTTTCTCCCCAGAGGGGATCTAGCCCAATGGTGTAACCTCCCCATCCTCAAAGAGGAGGGCAGGGGTTCGAGCCTGGGTGTGGGCAAAAAAGTGTGCGTGAGTGTGTTTCTTTTCAAGGTAAAAAAAAAAATTCTTTCTTCTCAAAACTGGGAAGTAGGTTTGGTTGTGAAAAGGCAAGGGAACTATTTGGGGTTTGAATTCATTTTTTGCTGTGTCATCTTAGCTACCAGACATTACATATTGACAACACTTTTGTCAAGGGTCGCTTGCTACTTTTATGATTGACAATGAAATCTAAATAATGCCAGAACTTAGGTTGGCAGGCATCATTAAGTTGATTCGAGTCTTCAAAGCAATCAACTTGTGCAAAATAATGTCAAAGATTAGGTCCATCTCCAATTTTCCCCTCCCAACATCCCACGCAGGCAGGATAGGTGCTGAATAATGCCCTTTTCATGAAAATATGGATAAGATCTTTCATTGTAGACAGTATCTGAAATCTTTCTTAGTTAATATAATATTTCTTAATCATAATTGATTCCCTTGTAATTTCTATTAACAGTATATTAATCTATCATTATTCATTAGTTCATTATTTAATGGTCAAATGAAAGAATGAACCCTTGACAATTATCATGTCTGAAAAAAGGAATCAATTGATCCACTTGGAAGGCTTACCAACTAGGAAAACACCCTCTATTACTAACTGCTAAATGGAGTTAAGCCCTCCACAAGCTATTTTGTCAGGTAAGAGGATTAGCAAGTGTTCTTATCTTTTGCATATCATGTGGTCACTCCCATTGGCAATACAAGGCAAGAATCAAGACTATCCTTTCCAACACAACACCAACTGGGTAGGTAGCTTAAAATTCTTTCTGAAACGAATAACAATTCCGGAGTTAATGCCGGCAGGAAGCACAAACTTCTGCAAGATTCGAAGGTTCCTAATGGATTATTATTTATTCTTCAGTTCTGACTGTCAAAAGTATCGTAGAAGCTTTCTATTCAATTTTATTGATTTTGAGGCAAGAATATTCTGGCTAGAATTTTTACGCATGAATTTACATTTGTGTTTTTAAATACTTATTTTGTTTTATTATGAGACTCTTGTTAACTGGAATTGGAGATTTGATATGTCCAAGACTCTTCACTGTGCTTGTTGATTGTTTTCAGGGAGTTTCTGCTTTCCTTATTCCGCACTTGTGCATCCAATATCGTCCCACACCATTTTTGGTATAACCACATCTCACGTCCCAATTTCAGCTACTAACAAATCCAGTATTAACTCCCAATCTGGCTTTGTCAATATATACTGAGCTCAGCTAGAAAGCTTGGACTAAGATTAAATCCAAATCCCTTTATTATCTATAGATCTATGCCTAGGTGGTTCCCAGTAACAAGACATAAGAAGACTCCCCACCTTTTTTCCAATACAAAATCCTGAAAAGGAACCTCGCGATACAGAGAATAGAGCTCAAAATTCTAGCAAGAATGCATAATAATTTTGAGCTTTATGTAGTAGAACCATATAAATATGATCAGAACCCTTGCAGGCACTCCACATAATCCATCAATTCATGTAATTTATCATTTAGTTGATGCTATCTTGTCCACATAAACTATAAAAATGCATCAAATAACCTTATCAATTGATTCAGTTTTAATCTCATGATTAAAGACAAAGGAAGCGAAGAGAGGCAGGGAAGCATTTTGAAAAGGAACTCAGAATGAGAATAATGGTGCTAATGAGTATAATAGCTGTATTGCCATGTTAGTTGAGAGCTGCGATCAGCATAAAAAAAAAAAAAATTAAAAATAAAAAAGTAAACTAGGAGATGCTAGCAGGCAGGGAGAAATGGTAAATATATTATGATTCAGTTATTAGTAGACAGCTTCTTGGATCTCTGAGATTTTTATTTTATTTTATAAGTAGATCTCTAAGACATAATTATTTCTTTGACTTTTACTTCAGCATTTTCTAGAAACCAATCATCAACACCTGATGGCTATGCATCTTCCGTGGAGGCCATGCATCCAATCCATATTTATGGGGGAGTTGACATTCACCAAGGAAGATACGCATCTAGAACTAGCACGAGTGAAAATATAATGTAAAGTCTCGCAATTTTTTCCTAGCCACTTCATATGGGACAAAAGGCTTAGGTTAAACACTCAGAATGACAAAATTTAAAGAACAATTTTTTTTTTTTTTTGATAAGTAATCGACATAATTTAAAGAACATTGGTCAAGTTGAACATTGGTCAAGTTAACGCATTTCTCTTGAAATATTTTACAAATAGATATCTTCTCACAATATTTCACCATTCTGCTTCATGTGCGTTTTTCTTTTTCTTCAATTTTTCCTTTTCAATGGAGCTTATATTACAGAACTCTAAGTTACAATATATACTACCTACTAAATAAAATCAAACTCAATAAACAATAAATATGACATTTCTATGTCCTATTGTTATCTCTTCATAAATCATAATACAGCTCTAAAAATAATTACATGACTGTTACAAAAGATTCACCTGGAGCATGAAGCATAAAACTTGTAACCAAAAGTTGTAATATCCATGATATTATTTTACCTCTGAGCAATTGTTTGGGCCTACAGGTTCTTTCAGACATTTTGATATTGCTATGACAGCAGCTTCAATAGATGCATCTTCCCCCTAATCATCCATCAGATACTTTAGCTTCCTTTTCTTTATAGAAAAAAAGGAAGAAGAATTGTCTAACCCAACAAACTTAAAGCACGACGCAAAAATCAGGGTAGCAAGGAAGCTTCACCTTCTCTTTCCAATAAAACATGTTTCCATATTGCCCTGCCAAACGGCTCCAGAAGCTGCGTGGTATGTCTAAATCAACTGAAGCACCCACATTGAAATTTAATATATTGCCTGAACAAAAAAAGCAATATGGATGAGTCACAGCAGATATTCTAAAGGGGGTGATCCATCTGAATGTTTACCAAATGTAGGATCAGCAACAAAGACGATAGTCCTATCATCCACTTGCCAAAAATCTTTAATGGCTAATCCTGCCATATATCGGGGAACGTATTATTCAAGCTATGCTTTAGAAGTTGAACAAATAAGCATAAAACTAAGATGTTAAAATAATTAGAAACATGTAGAATAATTCAAAGATCAATAGTGCATACCGGGTGTGTCAGGATAGTTCTGAGCTAGAACTCTCAACTTGAATCCTGTATCCTTTTCAATCGAAGCTATCTCCTGTGCAATTCTCTTCTCCTGCAGATTATTCATGCAGCATTAACTAAAGGTCCCCTTGACACAAATAAAACAATACTTTTATCATTGCTGAGAAAACTCCGTAGCATTAACAATATGGAACACTGAAACATTAACCCACTAGAACTTCTGTCAAAAGCATTAAGCGAATCCATGATAACCTTTCTATGAATTATATTTGATTGAGTGACAAAGCAAACCAAAACCCAGTTCAGACAACGAATTAACTTTTGTTGAAGATTGCATTATGAACAGGAACTTTATCTATACTAAACAAGATGGATTTGAGAAGATAAAACATTGAAGGCAAAAGATTTGGCACCTGATAAAATTCAATAATACAGATTTGCAAGAGTCAGATGTGCACTCAGGAAACATAATTTTCTTCATATTAGAAGTAAAGCTTGATTGCTAAGAAGGATATCCACGAACATGTGCTAAAAATCCTCCCTAACAACAGCATTCTTGGTATTCAGGACGTGATTTATTCTTTCTTCAATGTAAAAATTATTCAAACCAAAGTTCCATCCTATGCCTAGTGTTAAAATTTAAGAGAGAGAAAAAATAAATAACACGAGGATATATGTGGTTCCTCCACTAGGGCTTACATCCACGGGATAAAAAGCCCAAAGGGCTACGTAACTCTCTTGATTTTTGTATACAATAATCACCTCTATTTATAGGTGAAAGAATACCAATGATAAATATGGAAAATACATTGGTGGAGGATTCTTAAAATCAATCCCATAAATCACACCAATCAATATTCTATCATATGATAAAATCTGTCAAGGAGTAATTTAAGGGTTCCTATAAAAATATTCTCCAAAATTCCACCAAGTTGGTACACGGAGATGTAACTCAAGTGTCCAACTTGAAACTAAATATGAAGTAGTCGAGAGTTTGGAACGATCCGAGGATCTGAGACGAGACGAGTTGATCCGAAGATCCAAGACGAGTTGATCCAGAGATCCGAGATGAGTTGATCCAGAGATTCAAGACGAGTTGATCCGGAGATCCGAGACAAGTAGAGAGTAGGATATGATAAACCTGCTCTGATAACATGTTAAAATTTTAGAGAGAAATAGAAAATGAAAAACACAAGGATATATGTGGTTCAGCAACTAGAACTTACATCCACAGCACATGAAGCCCAAAAGGCTACATATCTGCATTATACTCTCTTGATTTTTGTATACAATGATCACCTCTATTTATAAGTGAAATGCAAGTAATAAATAGGGAAAATACATTGATGGAGGATTTTTAAAATCAATCCCATAAATCACTCCAATCAATATTCTATCATAGGCTAAAATCACTCCCATGATATTCTCATAGCAATATTCTGTCAAGGAGTAAATTAAAGGTTGATAAAGTTTATGAAGTTACAAGTTCTAATATCTCAATTATAATGTACAAGAGATAAAAAGTAGCAACTGACCAAGCTTGATTATTCTATACTAGCTCGAGCTAAACAATACCTCAACTACTATCCTCATATCTACATTGAAGAATCCATGTAAATGTATTTCAAAAATATATCAAAATAATTAATGTCGACAAGCTTGGGAACTGAGTTCAAGTCATGAGAGAAACCACTTTATGCAAATAACATCATAGGTCAGCTCTATCATCAGTCTTCCCCTGCCAACACCTGCTTAGCTGAGACATACTCTAGGTGTTTTTTATTATTATTTTTAAATAAAACAAAATAATAAGAAGGTTCAATGAACAACCAGTACCTACAGATGCCAATAGTACAACTACATCAAATGAAAAAGAATCACACCTGGCCATCTGAGAGGAACCCTGCAACATCAATAATGGGACTAAATTCTTTAGGAAGCAATTCTGGCTTGTTAACTCCAACTTTTCCCTCAGCAAATCCAACTCCTACAAAGTTTGTTTGTTCTTTTTAAATTCAGCAGTCTGATTCAAGAAAAAGAAGTTTCCAACATGGTGCATTATACCAGAGCATATTTAATTCAAAAAAAGTTCTTTTTCTTTTTGAGAGTCAAAACTTGTGTTGAATGCAAATGGTTCTCACAAATGTTCCAGCCTCTTTTGGAAAATGAAAAAAAAAGATATTGAAGTGCAGAAACTAGTAACACGAAGGACTGTATTAAGGTCGCAGAAAATAAATTAAGGAGTTCCATAAGTCCTAAAAATAGTCAATGTATGTCCCATACAAAAAGGTATTCGGAATCAAGGTTTAAACATGCTGAATGTTGTGAGATATTATTTTGTAATTGGCAATTTTCGGAAACAAAACAAGTCCTTGTCGAGTTGTAATTTGAAGTTACTACATCGGGATCGACAGCGATTGCTGAATGGAAAGGTTGTTCAAAGTTACCATAATTGAAATCATTCGAAATAAGGTAAGAACAACACATTAGGAAGGATTCTAAACAGGTTAGGACACATTCTACACTTTTCATATTTTCCAGAACTTACCAGAGAGTATTTTTAGGCTGAATGAACTAAGGATTTCAAGTCTGCCAAACTTAAACCGGTTCAGCTCCTCTTAACTGGTTCAAGATGCTCAAGATTGGCTTCGAAAAACTTCTGCCAATCTTGAACCGGTTCAAGTAGTCCTGATCAGTTTCAAACTTCAGTTTCCTGTTTCAGAATTGTGTCCTAGTTGGTCTAGAATTGTACCAAGTCCTATGCACGAATTTTTTCATATTTTCAGAGGGACTAGGACATTCTAAACTCTATATAAACCTTGTCATACACATAGGTTTATTCATGGCTTTTGCACTATCAATTTATTATTATTAAAAGCCTTAGAAAGATTTTTGTTTCAGTAAATCTTTAGAGATTTTTCTACTTATCAAAAAAAAAAAAAAAATCTTTAGAGATTTTTCTGTTAGTCTTTCTATAACACACACTCATATAGTGATTTTAGTACTGTGTTGTTCGAATCCTGATCGTGATCATACAGTTGCATCTACATCGATCAAACAAAAGCAAATTTACTTCTACATCGAATTCAGAAGTTGAAGAATAGAAGTAAAAGCGATCACACTTTGAAAGGATTGGAGTAAGCCTAAGTCTGAGGTCAAGTTGCTGTTAGACGGGGAGTTGCAAAGCCAGAGGATTGTCAGCAATTGATGTTTGGTAGAATGATAGGGTGTGAGCCAGAGTCAAAGTTCAGTGTACTTTGTTTCAAGCATAGTGAATCGGTTTACTTTGGACTGCACAGTCTACGAGGTTTTTCCCACGCAAACAATTGACGTATTTTATCAACTGGGTTTCCTCGCTAAAAATCCTGGTGCCATCTCTAACTTTTACTTTGCTTTATTTTATATTGCATGATATAAATTTATTAATTGCTAAAATAAAGAAAGTTAGAAAAACACAAGATCTATTTTTAAAACTTCAAAACTTTCTAAATATTCCGCTGCATACAGCTCACAAATGTTGGAAGCACTAATGAAAAGATAGTTAATTAATGTTATAAGGCATTCTATTATTTTGGTAGTGTCAGTTTGTTATTTAAAGGAGCCATGTATAGTTACATAGCTATAAATATCCAGTACTAAATTTATAATATCTAAGAGTCCACTGGTATATGTTAAAGAAGGTATTAACTACAACTTACAAACATAAGAATTATAACTTATAAGCCCATTGGTGAAGCAGCCAGAATTAGCACTTCTTCGGCATTAGAAACAATATTTTCAGCTGAGCAAGTGCAAGTACTTATATTTCAGGATTGTCTCCAGGTGTCGGAATTTCATTTTATATATCAAATTGATTTCAAATATAACATCATATGTATTGAATAATGAACACTTATCTCATCGTTATGTACTAAAAATTCAAACGAATTTCAGTCAGCAATTTGTCTCTAGTAACTAATAAATTGATGCTATCAAAGCATAAAAGTAACCAGAAAACTATCAACTTTAGACATTAAAAAAAAAAAAAAACAATATTATGCAGATTGAAAAAAAGTGTCAGAATCAGTATCAAAGATAATGCAAAACCAATAAGCAAGCATATAGATATTTAGACAAATCCAACCAGTTTGGATAAATAAGCAAAACAAAACCACGTTGCTCCTGTTTTGGATAATTTGCTTAATTTGATTAACAAAGGAAGTTAACGTAATTTTGACCGAATGCAGACAAAGATAAACACTGACCTGTGAGAGATAATGAGACAGCAAGAGTGCCAGATAGCGCGAATTTCAGAGATTTGAATCCGAACTCGGAGACCCATTTGGCAAATTGTAATGAATTTGGGTTTGGTGGGCAGAGATTAGACGATGCTTTGATGGGTCTTGTAATGAGACGATGCCTTCCGAACGTCAGAGACGGTGAAAGTTGGAGAAGAGAAGCCATTTTTGTTTCTTCACTTTTTCTCGGGTACTCAATTTTTGGATTTTAGATAGGACGAACAATCTATACTTACATGAGCTGTGATAAGCTCACTCCCCATCTGTCAGAAGCCCAATCCAACCGAAAACTTATCCGCCTAATAAATGCGAGTGGAAAAAGAGATAATATCATGTAAAAACTCCAGTAAAGAAATCCAATAGAAGCACTACTTAGTTGGCCAAAATTTTCGGTTTGTATAAAATTGCTCAAAAAAAAAAAAAAATTCCTGCATTGCTCATTACATGATCGAACGCCTATTATTTTTATATTTTGTTCAAAAAAATTTACTTTTTTGAGAACCCTTTGAAAATATAAATGAATAATAAATATATTTTTAGTGTTAAAACTTTCTTTAATGATTATAAAAAAATATTGAGATGGGTGAATTTCCCAAAGCCACAGGAAAAAAAAAAAAAAGACTCAGTAAACTGATTGCATGTGTACTATTGCTATTGCAACCATCTAGCTGCTACAAGTATCCTATTCACATTGTTGGAAGCCTCGTCTGAGTTCAAGCTTGAATGCAACTCGTTTCCTGTTTTAGGTAATTCTGTTGACTAAAACAACATATCGAAATTCCACCAGCATGCGTAGGTAGCTTGGCCAAGACATGGTTCAAAACCAGACATGTCAAGTTCGACACTCCACTCCTCGATTCAGTAATCAGGAAAAAAGAAAACAGTGTGGTGTGCATTTGGTTTGGGGTTCAATTCTCCCCTTGGTGTTGTATAGATTAAATTGAGAAACTGTAACTAAGGAGGGGCAAAGAAACAGTAACTGTCTTGTTACAATCCCCACTTTATTCAATCTTCACAGCAACAACTATCTTCTTGTTACAATCCCCAAAACCTTCACAGCTCTATTAACATCAACCAGAACAAGAAATGTTAAGACAGAACAAATTGCTTAGTGTACAAGGACTACTACATATAACAACAAACTAGGCTTTACTTAAAATTAACATTCCTATAATGTTTTATGATTCATTCTAGGAAAACATGCTGAAATACTATCACAAGTTAGAGGTTGGCTAAAGATAAGTCAATCACTTAGCTAGGAATGTCTCTTTTGGGGCCGTCTGTAAATTATATCCAAATGTGATTCAAGCAATGCTGTCTTCAGGGGGCACTTTTGGGAACTAACACGCACAGAAGGATAATAAGGTGAAGAAGTACAACAATAACACATACTGTTCCCCTTATAATCATCCCACCTGTTTAAACTATAGTATCTTTAAAAGAAGAGAGGGCACAAATCATCCATTCATTGTCATTTCAATATCATCTCATGCCTTGGGCATCATGGGAACAACCAAAAGAGAAGATGATGATTAATAGAAAGGTAAAAATCCAGAAATAGAAGCACAAAGAACGAGTTCTAGATACAATAGTCACGCTGTTCTTGAAGTTCAAAAAAATAGAACACGAGTATCGAAACAACAATCTATGGGAAGTACACAGGCCAGTTGATGTAGTACGAGTCTCTTGTGTTTTTATCCATGTACTGGTTCCACTGAAACAAAGAGATTTAATTTAGACAAATAAGGGTCATTAGATAATTAAAGAAAAAGCTTGCATATGGGTCACAATATAAACAAAGAGAACTGCTTTTGCTTAATGGTAATGTGAAATTTAATTTTTATGCAAGTCGATAGACTCAATACACGATACCTTGAACTTATATGGTTGCTTCTTCCCCAGTGCTTTCTTCCAGTGGTACTGCTCAAATAACATTGCTTTGTCATGCCAGCTGCATGTTGAGTATTTCAAGACATGATTACCAAAAACAGGTAGAAAATAAAAGGTACTTGAAGACATGATACAGGAAGAAAATTCAGCAGCAAAACTTTGCACACATCTGAGTATATCTGGTTCTAGACAAGCAAATGAAATCACCTGGCACTGAGGACATTAACGATAAACAGTGACGGTCGATTAGATTCCTGATATTACAGAAACAGTGAAGGAAATACATCTTAGTAACATGGTTGGAAGAGATCTTCTCCCTGTGACACACTCTGAGTCCTCTCTTGATAGCAACTCATAAATAATACCTAAGGCTCAAGGTTTATGCCTGTTGCCATCGGCCCATCACACAACTAGCAGGTTTTAGTTACATGTCCGAGATTTTGGTTTGGTTGAATTGTGTGATAGGGAGATTGGCAGGTTTTACTAATTTATCTTATGTATGTTTATACCACTAATGTCGTAATCTCAAAGTTTCGGTAGTAGATTACTCTCTTGCTAATTTGTTTGTGTATATTGATTTAGAGCCAAAAGTGCATTATCAAATCTATACCCCACTTACACAAGGTGATAATAAGCAAAGATTATAATAGACCTAACAAGGCTAACATTTGACATTCCTCTAAGCAAACTCTAACCTCAAACATGTGCCACAAATTCGTGCCATACCACGTAAATCCAATCCATGCGTTCTTGATTGTGATTTGTTCTCTTTTTCTTCCCCCACCCTTGGCAACATTCCACATTTAAAACCCCTAATTCATTAATCCATATTCTGAAATATACTGCATGAAGAAATGCAACAGATATCAAATCACTCCGCTGAGCATAACATAGTAGTCAATGCAACATATCCGTCATTTAGAATGGAGTCATTAGATAAAATAGGAGTCATTGCCACCAACCGAAAGCAAATGACCAGTTTAATGGTTTTCATTGTCCTACAATTATCTGGGGAAAAAGATGGACTTTATTAAATTGCCCCAATTCACAATGACGAATTAGCACAAAAAATTGATGTCTAAACACAATCGAATAGTTTGATTTTCATCAATAATGCATGCACACTACATAATACAATTCAAAAGATTTATTTAAAAACTCAAATAAACCTTAATCAGATTTTTGACCCTTTTCAAGCATCGATAGTACTAATCATGAAATTCTTTGACTGAAACCGCATCGTTCAAGAAACACTTAGTAATTCATGTTAGCCTTGAAAATATACCGATATTAACATTATCAAACTGATGAACAATAACAACCGCATAAATTTAAAATTGTTTCAAAATCATAAACCGTGATAAAAAAGAAAGAAATGGACTATCCCTAAATTAACTTTAATATCATTATCAATTTATATATAATACATATATATACATGTAAGGTTGGTAGAGAGAGAAAGAGGGTACTTGAATTGATTAGCGAGTTGCCACATGTAGGGATTGATAAAAGTGAGGGCAGAGAAGGCGAACGATCCTATCCATATGTTCACGAATCGATCTGCGTCTGTGTGTGGAACGCCCGGGTCGCCTCTGTACGCATTCCCAAAGAATTTCTCCATCTCTCTCCTCTCCTCTCCTCTCCACAGTAGTACGCTCTCTCAACGGTCGCAGTCTATAGTAATTCAGGACAAAATTATCATTTTATTATCTCCTAACGATAGAAATAATGCAGGAAGAATTTGTTATATAAATCAAAATTTTGAAGAAGTTAAGTGAAATTATAAATCACAATAAGGTCTATGCAAACCTCGAGAAAAAAAAAAAAAAATTAATAAATAAATAACAATGTCACATTTTTTACTTTTTCAAACCCCAAGGATTAATTCCAATACAACAGTCTTAAAATTTTAGCAAAAGTACTCGACTAGTCTATTTTCAAAAGAGAAAATTTTATTATTTAATTCATGAAAATAATTAATTAGAGTCCCATAGTATACTTACATATGTGTGTACTTGATCACTACTCAGTATCCACTAATAAAACAGAATAATAGCCAAATGTTACAAGTGAAACTTGTCCGGATTTGGATGGAGTTGAAATGTGTATAAATGGGTGGGTATGCAGTACTATCCAATAGTTCGAACTTTTGGGTAAATGGGCAAGCGTCCACCCGTTACAATTGGTATCAGAGCCAGATCCAGTCCTTAATCTGGTGTCACGCCAAGCGCCCGTCCCGGAAGGCGTCTGGGTCTGCCTCCGGGTAGGCAGGGTGGTTCGACCACAACGAGGGCGTTGCGTGGGCCCGGAAGGGGTCTGGGTCTGCCTTCGGGTAGGCAGGGTGGTCCGACCGCAACGAGGGCATTGCGTGGGTTCGGATGGAAATGTTACAAGTGAAACTTGTCCCACATCGAATTTGGATGGGGTTGAAGTGTGTATAAATGGGTGGGTATGCAGCACTACCTAATAGTTCGAGCTTTTGGGTAAATTGACAAGTGCCCACCCGTTACACCAAACATGATAGAGTTGAATGCCACCATCATGCCCGTGTCATAATACCTAGCCAAGTAAGGGTAAGGTATCAAAAGGTAGTTGAATATGTCTTTTTTTAGCACTAATAAGTGATCAAATATCTTTAGTTAAATTTTTTTTTTTTTTGGCCTTTTGATATATAATCACCCTTTTGAATGATTTTAGCATGGTTAAATTGTTTGATATCAATAGAATCATCCAGTTTATTTATTATTATAATTTTAAAATTTTACTTTTTTAAATAATTATTTATGAAGAAATTAAATTATTTATTTTATATCAATCAACAATTTTGGCTCATACCTTTTGCATAGTTAAAAAAACCAAAGAAACTGAAAATGGAAAATCATCACTCTCAATTTATCAAGTCGGGAACATGTTGAAATTGTTAATTAAAAAATAAATAAATAAAATTTGAAAACGCATTTCTTATCCAATAAAAATTCCCATAATTCATCAATGCATGTAATCAAATGAAATAATTGCCCTTTGAATCACTTACTAGTACTACAAGTATATATATATATATTTTAATAAATTCATGTAATAATAATTGATTAAAGTGTAACCTCTATCTATTTATTTATTTATCTTCCTTCACATGATTATTTTGTCCTCCCTTTTTACCTTTTGATTTCTCAATGTTTTTGTCCTCCCTTTTTAACAACTACCATAAAAAAAAAGTTATTTGTAAACCTCAACTAATAGCTTACATTGCAGTTGATTTTTATTATTATTTTATTTTATTTATTACAGTGTTATTATTATTGCAAAAAAGGGTTTCTCAAATCAAGTGACAGGGTTTTAGTCGAATCAAGTGACGGGGTTCAGACAGACTTATGAAAGTATGAAACCATTCCTCTTAATAATATACAAATCAAATTTTAATGATTTATTTATTTATTTAATATTTTTTTGGGTACGGGTAGTTAGTATTTTACACGAGTAGTAATATTTTCTCCGACTTTTGAAGTCTATAAATAAACCCTTCACTTCATCAACGTCTCTCCATCTCTTTCTTTCTCTATATATCACACACATTGGTACATACCTTCACTGCTCATTTCGATCTTTCTTTGTGTTCTTATTATTAGGGTTTATCCAATTTTCATAAAGCCTTATTATTTTTTTCCCGGTGAATTAAACCCTGATTAGTTGACCTGAACTAATTACTGTCACGAACTCTACAACTCCTGAAAACGAGAAAATCACTCTCTCTCTCTCTCTTTCTAGATCTTTTAAGCCCCGTTTTCACCATCCATTGTTTTCTATTCAATCAACGGCTTCGAGATTCACGCCAAAGCCCTCCAAATTACCTGTAAGTGTTCAATATTTTATACATAATAACTGTTGGGTGATACCGTTCTAGGGTTTTTATGAACAATACAATGCGTTTCAAGTTCTTAGCATCGAATAAGCTTTCTGTATTATTGTTTTGAGTACGAAGAGTAATGAGTTGTGTAGTAAAGTTTTTTTTTTTTTTTTTTTTTTTTTTTTTTTTCAGAAAACCCTAAATGATTCGGGGGTTTGAATATGAGCGATGGATGTAAAGTGGGGAGTAAGAGAGAGAACGAGAATGGAATTGGCGCATCTGAGCGAGCCACTGCTGTCCAGTTTGGCCGAGCAGTAGCAAAGATTGCGGTGGCACAGATATGCGAGAGCGTCGGGTTCGAGAGCTTCCATGAGTCAGCTCTTGAAGCTCTCTCAGACATTGCCCTCCAATACCTTCGTGACTTGGGAAAGACAGCAAATTTTTACGCTAATTTAGCTGGTAGGACTGACTGTAGTGTGTTTGATGTTTTACAAGGGTTGGAGGATATAAATTCATTGAAGCCATCCTTGGTTGCGTCAGAGGCTAGTCATTGTCTCGCTGGTTCTGGCACAGTGAGGGAGATTGTTGAGTATATGGAGTCAGCTGAGGAGATTCCAATAGCTCAGCCCGTGCCCCATTTTCCAGTGATTAGAGATCGGAGGATGACACCAAGTTTTATGCAGATGGGTGAAATGCCGGCGTTCAAGCATATACCAGCTTGGTTACCAGCATTTCCTGATCCCCACGCCTATGTACATACACCCATGTGGAATGAGAGGATGACGGATCCTCGTGCAGATAAAGTTGAGTTAGCAAGGCAGCAAAGGAAGGCAGAGAGGTCTTTGCTGAGTTTGCAGCAGCGGTTGGTTTGGAATGGTTTGGCAGTACCTTCCACTCTAGCCGATGTGGGAAATGATGGAAAGGCATTACAAGTTGCTGAAACTAAAATCCCATTTCTTACGGAAAACCATTTTTCTGTAGTAGAGGCATTTGCTCCTGCTATTGAAGCAGTGAAGGGATTTCATGATGCTGGAGACAGTGATAAAAGGGTTCTACCAGACAAGATACCCTCTGTTCATTTGAAGTTCAAAACTGGCAAGAAAATTATTGGTGCATCCCTGGATTTGAGCCTTCAGTACAAGGGTTCTGGCAGAACAGCATGTTGGATTGGTCGTGATGATGAAAGGGATGACAAGAAAAGGCGAGCTGAGTTTATTCTTAGACAATCCATGGAAAACCCGCAGGAGCTCACTCAGTTGTAAATTATTTAATTTAATGGATTTCTAAATGACAGGAATGGTACATTATTCAGTAAATTAGCGGCTGATTATGGTCAATCAAAAGTCAATGGCATACTGTTCTTGTGCAATTTTGTCACGGGAATCCAGCTGTGAGTCATCATAACCCCAACTTAAACAATTTTCAAAGGTATGGTAATAGCTTGTTGAAACTCGCTTGGCTCTATTATGCAGATATTTTTCACAAATAAAGTTCAGCCCTTAACACAATTAATTCTCTGCTTTTGGCGGTCATGAACTTTTTTCTCATTTCAAAATGCAATAAAATTGGATCAATGCATGATACTGCGCAATTGCTGTTGAATTAGTAGTCTGACTAAGTACCATTAGTTTGTATTATGGACAATTGCTCATTCTTTCCAAATCAAATGATTAAATATCATAAATTATGAGAAAAACTACTCATTAGAAAAAAAATGACTATGCAAGTATGAACAAACCGGCAAGAACGCTAATTTCTAAATTAATTTTATGCATGGACCATTGCTGATCTGGCAAGAGAGTTGGTTAATTGAAGTGGTTGTCTGTGCAATTCCTGAAACAAATTCCAATTGATAGTGATTAATCTGCATATAAGCTACTGGACTAAGGAATGACCACAAAATCCAGTTTACTATGCAAACGCTAAAGTCATTTCAGTTGACCTTGATAAATAATTATATGTCAAGGACACTATTAGCAAGGAATGATCAAACATTCACCATAGACTAATGAATGTAATTTTGAGTTAAGGCTCGGTCTGAAAACCTAAATCAATTCTTTTATGTACCTTCCCTTTTTCATTCCATTATTAAGTTATTGGTTCAATAAGTATCAAAAGTTTGTTATATGCTGTTGTAATTTTAATTATTTGACATACACGGGACAATGAGGGGGATTAACTAGCTAGGCATACATTAGAAACACTGATGTAGCAATTGGCTAGTAATGATAAGTGCCATTCTTACACAGCCTAGGCGCGCACGTTGGAGTAAATGTCAATATAACATGTATTTAAAAGTTAAATTGTCAGACTAGTTAAGTTGGATGTCTCTCAATGAAGGTTTCACTAGTAGGTATCGTCAGAGTCGTTAAAGAGAACAGTTCTTTTATTGCAAAATGGTTATGGTGATCCCCTCAAAGAGTTTAACACCTTTTTTTACACGTACTTTTCTAGGTAAATTTGGGAAGCTCCTAAATTGAAGGAATCTCCACCCAGTTAAAAGGGGTGTTTACAATAGTCCCATCCAGCTAAAAGGTGCACACTATCTTTCGCATCATTCAGTTATGTGTCTTTCTTATTTGCTTTTTCGTTATTGTCTAGTTTTTGCTAGTCCTTTTGATCGTGGTTTTGCCCAGTAAGTTTTGTTTCATAAGTTATTTCATCTTTATTGTATGCTTGTTGACCTCCATTTGTTTTCTCCGGAACTCATGTTTCAATCATCTTTATACATTTGTTTTTCGGTATTGTCAATTTAGTTAAATTCACAATTGTAGTGATGTTTATCTATAGCAGTAATTAGTGATTTTTGTCTTTTCGCCACGTTTTTGTAAGAGTTTGTCTGTTTCTTGGTGGTTGATTTTCTTGCACCTTGATTGCCCTTGTTTATTTGTAGAACTGTTCCTTCTTTCTTGTTTTCTTATAATTTTATTTTTTCTTAACAGTTTTTTCAAACTCTAGCAGTAAGTAATAATGTTTGTCTTTTCACCTCTTCTTTAAAGGGGATGACTAGTTCTTGGTGTTTGAGCTTGATTGCCCTCATTTATTTCTGTAACTGCTCCTTCTTTCCAGTTTTTTTGTAATCTTATGATTCTTATCAGCTTTTTCAAACTTCCCCATAAGTCTAGTTTACATGGATTATGATCTCATATAAGCCTTTTTCTTGGATTTATTTAATTTTATCGTTCTTGACTGTTGAATGGCTTTTTTGGTAAGAAGTTGGCTCCTTGATAAATCCATTCCAAAACATCAAAAGATAACTGGAAATAGAGACAAAAATCATTATGATTTGCTTGTTCCTGAAAATATTTTATCATCTAGACGTTATAGAGAATTGAGAATTCTAACAAAAAAAACTCGTCTTTATAAAAAATATAGAAGAAAAGAAGTCCTTTCGGGAGAAGTTGGAAAGAACCCGATATGAAAAAAGAAAAAGGACTGGAATCTACACATTGATTCCTTTTATTGCTCTTATGGGATATCGTAGTATCGTGGATGATACCAAAGATCTGTATTGATTTATAAACTCTCCAAGCGGATGGGTACCTGGAATAGCTGTCTATGAGATGGATAGCATATATTTTGACATTCCTTTCTATGCATAGATCTACATGGCATCTATATTTTTTAATATTTGCCTTTTTGGTCATGTGTCTTATTTGGGATGGAACCATGATTGGGTTGTTGAAATGTGCAGTACTTTAATACTTTTTCTAAAACTTAGGACAGCGTCCTCGGGGAATTAATTGTCAGTTAAGAGTTAACTGCGGCGGCCATAGTATACTCGAGGTTGGAAATAGCAACCTCTTCACAGTTGAATTATCCTCCGTGTACTTCTTAAATAAAGCCTCATCTTTGAAGTTTTAGCTAATTTATGTGCAATCTACGTCAAATGGACATTTGTGGTATGGGCATGCTATTTTGTTTTCCGGAGACTGATCGGTTTGGGGGGCTCTACTCAGAGCCAGTTCAAAACATTGAGACTTTCCACATCATTCTGGGAGATGATTGTGCCAATGTGATTGATGGTCTATGAATAGGTTTATATCTGTTTTTGCTCTAATTGTATCTTCCATTTTGATCGGAGCTCTAGGTTGTTGAGGACCTGGAACCAATTTTCAGCTAAAAAGGTGTTTTTGTTCTAGAGTGGTTCTTTAAATTTTTTACTTGTTTAGAAGCCCCTCTCCTCCTATCTTTTCTCTTATCCCTACTATATGATTACTTGTTTAGAATTTTTATTTTTTTGATGGTTATCATTTGACGCAATGCCATGCAACATTTGATGACTAGGCAATTATTTCACTCGACAATTTTCTCCGTCACTATTGCTTTTTGTTTAGCAATAGTCTATCATAACCTGATGACCAATTTCAGCTGTTCCACGATTAATTCTAATTTGCCCATCACCTTTTGAAAACCTTGAACATGCCTATGGATGGAGAATCACCTTTTTATTTTTTTTATTTTTTATTTTTTTCCTTATTCATCATCATTTTTATTTGCATCACCTTGTTTTTTTTTGACCTTTATTAGTCTATATGTATTATTGTTAAAAATCCAGTCTCTCGAATTTAGAAGAAGCTACTAGGTACATTTCAGATGAATACTATTGGATAGACTGCTAAATTGTTGAAGCTCTTGCTTCAAATATGTTGAAGATCAAAGAACAGGTTAATTTATTTGAAAGAACAAAGGAATATCAAGAATTGTTCCGGGGAAAACTGGACTTTGTGATGGCACCATCTGGGTTTTGTGCTTACTCGGCACAAGCAAACCAAAAAAGAGTGAAAAATAAGTTGCGAATATATATAGATGTGACCAAGGGCCTTATAGCTAGTGGTACTTCCTCACCTTCCAAAGTAGAAGGTCGAGAGTTCAAGTCCCAATAGAAGCAAAAAGTGGGTGTGTGAGTGTGTTTCTTGCTGATGAAAAAAAAATGTATATGGATGTGAATTTCACATAAGAAAGTTTTAAATTTCATGATTTTGCATATTTCATCGATTTCTGGTCTAGTATCTAAAATAAGAACTACAGAGACATAAGTGAATGCATGCAAATTTCATGGTTGTACTGGTCAAGCAAATATGTGCATGTACACACAAATTTCGTAGTCTACAAATAAAGAACGAAATAGGGAGCAAATAGAATTTTATTAATTTATAAAAATTTGAGTGCGAAATTTGAGTGAGATATTCTAAAATATCCTCTGATTCGATCTCCTTTGTTGGTTGGATTCAAGGGCTTTTGGAGCTTGATCTTGAATTGGGTTGTTGACAATCTTCTTCAAGTATTTGTAGTTGAAGAAGATCGCCGACGATTTCTGATCGAGGGGACGAAGCTTGATCTCGAACAGTGTTGTATGGTGATTCGTCAAACTTGTTGAATCACGGAGAAAGAACGACACGATTTTGATGTGCTTGTTGTTCTTTGTTGAATTTGAGGAAGAACGACACGGCTTTGGATGTACGGCTTTGGTTGTGTTTTTTGTTGATCACCGTGGAATTTTGATGAAGAACGGCATGATTTGATGGGCTTGTTGCTTTTCGTCTTCAGGTTTGTGTGTTAGGGATGAATATCGGTATTTCTCTATGAAATTCTAGATTTCTAGAATTCTCAATTTATCTCCTTCTGGATTTCTGGCCCTTTGGATGTCTGAGTCTTTCAATTTCTGGACCCCTTCCTCCTTCCTTCATATCTCTATTTATAGGCTTCTTGGATTAATAGGATGATAACATGTGTTCTCTCCATAAAATCATAACTGGGCCGGGCCGGCTATATTATGATGATTATCTATAAAATAATTATTTCAAATATATTTTATTAGAAATAATTATCTTTTTATTTAATCATAACCGGACCGACTATATTATGATGATTATCAATAAAATAATTATTCCAAATATATTTTATTAGGAATAATTATCTTTTTATTTAATCATCTGGGCTTGGCTAATTAAATAATTTAAGTGGATTAAGTTTGAACCAATTAAATAATTTAATTAAACATGAGACCCATATTTGATGGGCCAATTAGTCAAAACAAAAGTTCATAAAATTTTAGTGTCTACAGTGCATATTAAAGTATCTTTTAAATTGTTTGCTGAGTTCTTTCAAATATTTTGGCACTGAACTGATTACTGATCCTTTTTATTGTTGTCATAGATATCATCACTTGATCGAATGAATCCACGAGAGAAATCGTCAGAGATTATGGTTACCTCTTGACATCCACCTATACTGACCAGGACTCGGGTGGAAAACTCCTTTTGGGAGCTCTCTTAAAGTCACGCAATGGTTGCGCTCTAAGGAACCCAGCACGGAGCTTGGTAAGAAATTGGAGGCAGTTGCAGTGAAGTGATCCCATCAAACCAAAGCTCCTTACCATTGTGGAGAGTCTGACACTAGTCAATGAGGCTTTTTCTTTTCCAGTTGCAGTTTTGATTGTACTCCATCCAATTTTTTTAGGGAAAAGGAAGGTTGTCTGATACTGTTCATGAAGAATGATAGCCTGGAGAAGCCTATAGAGATGTTGGATGACAAGAAGCCTAGAGTGATGGGAGGTTGGAAGTGATGGTGCATTCATTTTGAAAAAGGCATTGTTCCATGCAAAGTTGCATAAATCTTAACGTAGATGGAGAAACACTCCAGCCCAAAAAAGCAGTGATAGGCTCGCCAAATTCAGTGAGCCTTGGACACATTTGGGTTCCGCTACATTGCATCTAAATGGATGTTGTCATTCGGAATGAATTCATTTCCTGCCAAAAAATTCTCATTCGGGGTTACCTGATCTTTCTCTGATTACTGTCTTTTATAGAAATGTTTCCCTGGTTGAATTTGTTTTCACCACACAGCATAAAAGTCATTAATAGCAAGACTCTGATCGTCTTTTTGAAGGTTTTTACCATTACGCTTACAACACACATACAATACCTGTGAAACAAGTTTGGACTTGTCCCACTTTCAATCAACGGTTTCTCCAATAAGTTTTTCCCATCTTCCAAATATTTAGAAGAACCAGTGAAGCACTTCTTTTTTTTTATTTCTATTTTTTTATGTGCACCAAGTGAAGTACCTTGAAAAATCAAGCTGCGTTCAATTTGTCTTTGAACGACGATATTGCTAGCAGTGACCAGCTATTTTAAAAGCCATTTGGCTACTCTTTTACATGGTGTTCTTTGTTTAACAATTATAACAGTTGATATCCATAGTTACTTGTGTATAGAAATCGCTATATCCAGATCATATTAAAGTCAGTAATAGACCTAAATGTTTACGAACATTGCAAAGAGGCAGCTTGGATTTTTATCCCACCTTGCTCTTCCAGTTCTTCCAGAACCACGGGGGTATCAGCCTACCAGGTCTAGGATCTGCAAGTCTTTGGAAAAATAAAAATGAGAATGTCTACTCTCCAGAAGGCCAAATGTTGATTTTTCTTACTGAAAATTTCCAGAAAGCAAGTTGTTCCATTTTTTCGCTTTCAATGTAGACGAACAAAACGGAAAATAATGTCATAAAGATCTAATATATAGACCAAAAAGACAGCCACGTAAGGGCTTTGCATCTACTGTCCATAAAAATTCAACAAGCATAGTACCCATCCTCCTGTGAATTATGCAACCACTACAATAACAAAACTACTCTGATTATCTCTAAAAAAAAAAAAAACTTTTAAGTTCAACAATACAAGACAAGTCTGGTCTCACTTCAACTTCATATCAATTTCTGAAGAAAATGCTTTTCCACGGTGGTTGAAGATCATGAATTCCAAATTGGCAGGTAAAGATACCATCCTGCATTCAAGAGGGAAAAAAAAAATGTTAAACAAAAGAATCTTGATATCAATCACTGAAATGTTTCCAAACAAAAAGCAAAGCAAAAAACAGTCATTTCAATGCTACAATTTATATATGATGCATCATAAAACAAAGAGGCAATGCATGCATATAAAGGTTATGATCCTAAGGATGATAGCTGCGGCAGACACTAAAATTTTGTACAGATGCCACTCATCAAAGTGAATAGTATTAGTAAAATAAACTCTCAGAGAGAGAGAGAGAGAGAGAGAGAGCAGCTGCCCATTTTGGGTCCATTCAGGGTCCTTACACTTCTTGTTACATTGTATTTAGATTTGAAGGCAAGCTCCCGGTTTTGGCAGTTACTGTTTTCAGGTGCATTAAGTACCTTTATGAACTGGATACTCCAAAAGGCTTAGGTTTAACTGTCTGTTTGATCAATATAGTATCACAAGGCCTGTAGTCTATGCTCAAAAATTCATACAGTATGACAAATGATATGACGTGGTTACTGGCATAACTCCTACCGGAAATAGTTTAGATATTCAACCCTCATGGCCAATTAACTGTCAAATAAGCTCTCTATACATGAGAAAATAGCATCATATTTACAGTTCCATAATAAACCAGAGATTGATTAAAACAAGAGTTACAACTTGCATAACTAGGTCTTGTTTGATTAATCCACAAGATGAAAAATATACACACACACACACACACACACAGATATGTAACTCCATGATACGCCAAACGCCAGAGTTTCAATCTTCAATTCCATGAATAGGACAGGAAAATCAAATCATGATCGACTCAGCCATCCAAATAAAACTGTGGTTGGCAAATAAAACTTGGAGAGGATTCAATGTCCTGGCCCGCCATAAAACTATTACAGTAAATTTAGCATAAAACGAAATAGACTGAATTCTACCACATGTATCAAATGTCAAGGCTCGGCTGGAATGAACAAGGGAATGGAAAGGTCATTCCACAATCTACTCCCATCCCACATTCAGTTGGGCAGTTGGACTGGAATGGGCATCCCCAAAAGAATGGCCAATACTGCCACCATGAGATACACAGTCCCAACCCAAACCAAAAAATCCTCCCTTTGTCTAATCAGGTTGCGGTCATTCATCTCCGCCCCGCTCCCTCCCTCTCTAGCATTTAAATGAAAACTCTAACCCCCAATTTTACATATTTGTTTATAAATGTGCCCAATTTTGTGCAAGTGTATATATAAATATGTGCTCCCAATTTATGCTTATATATAGAAGTGACTTTCGCTGCAACCAAATGAATATGGTAATTAGTACCCAAACATAGCCTAAAGTCATAATAGGCTGGGACCATGCATAGTTACAAGGTAGAGGGGGCCAGGCCTTAAGTGCCCCCCACCCTATGCTCCTAGGTTTGAATCCCCTTCCCCCTAACCCCCACTAACTCCTAACTATCTAACCATTGCCAGGTTAAAAAAAAATGAAATAGTTACAAGGTAGAAATATCTCCCAGCAGATGTGGAGCGCAAAAGTAAATGACACATGAAGCAGCAGTACTCAAAAAGTGCAAGCAATACCATCTATGATAAAGAAATCATCAATTGTTACCAATTGCTTTTTAATCAATGGCACAGAACAATAAAAACGAGGACTAGATCCACCTCAACGGGGCTAACCCATGGTCAGGTATGGGTTTTCCCAAGTAATCAGATAGACGCTATAAATTTCCAAAATTTGTAGTTTCTCATATTACTTCTGGCACTTAATTCAGTTTGACCAGTCGAATAAACTGGACGTTCTAAAATTTGTTCAAATTTTCTGGACCCCGATTCATTCAAATGGATAAATGCCTGTATCTGGGCCAAACCAGTAACTTTTTGAACTAGATCACACTTTAAAAGTTGTAAAATACATCATTACCACAAAAACATTTCAATATCTTGATATTAGTGTGGTCATAAAGTTATCTCCCACCATAATGATATTTATATTTAAACCACAATTGAGAGGGGAGGTTGGTCCTCTCGTCCTGTTTCTATTACTTGGCGTTTGGAAGTTCATTCGGAAAGGTTGGGATGTGTTTTCCACCCATATTCGGTTCAAGGTTCGTAATGGTATGAACGTAAGATTTTGGGAAGACTTATGGTGTGGTGATCAGTTGTTGTCTCTTTCCTTTCCTCGTCTCTTTAGCATTGCCGAGAATAAGCATGCTTATGTAATTGATTGTTATCATCTTGATAACAGTGGAGTTACGTGGGATGTGCGTTTTAAGCGTTCTTTTCAGGATTGGGAGATAGTAGAAGTTTGTGTCTTTTTGGACATGTTGTATAGACAGAAGGATGTTGGCAGAGGTTGTGATGATCTTTTGTGGACCCCCTCTCTTCATGGTAGATACGAAGTTCGATCCATATTCTTGTGTTTGTCTAATTTTATTGGACATAATTTCCCATGGAAGTGTATTTAGCGCTCTAAAGCTCCTATTAGAGTTGCCTTCTTTGTTTGGACTGCTACCTAGGGAAAAATTCTAACATTGGATAATCTACGTAAGAGAGGTAATACCATTGTTAACTGGTGTTGTCTCTGTAAAGCTGATGGTGAGTCCGTGGACCATCTTTTTTTGCATTGTCCTGTTGCATCTGATTGTTGGAACCTCATATTCAGTATTTTTGGCGTTCAGTGGATAATGCCTAAGCACTCTTTCCAATTAATTAACGCTTGGAGAAGCTGCCCTGTTTCTGGTCATGCTCGTGATTTTTGGAGGGTCGCCCCACATTGTGTTTGGTGGTGTATTTGGAGAGAGCGAAATAACAGAAACTTTGAAGGGAAGGAATCGTCTTTTGCAAACCTGAAGTCTCTTATTCTTCGCTCTCTTTTCTGTTATGTTGGCAGCGCTTGCTCCTCGATTGATGATTTTTTTGTTCTATTGGACTCTGTTGGTCCGTAGGTTTGGCTTTTGCTCTTTTGTTTTTGTGTATTAGGGACATGTTCCCCTTTTGAACCTTTTTCTAATATATTTTTACTTATCAAAAAAAAATATTTAAACCACAATTGAGCTACTTGTTGACAAAATACTGCAACAGTGACATTAGTGGCTTGCATAATGTCTTCATATTTTATATTACCTTAAATTAGGATTTGCCCCTGCCGCTATTATGTCAAAAGCTAATAGCATATTTTGCAGAGTCGGTAATGAAGAAGATAAACTAAAATCTGATTGTCTTAAGGTGCAATTCTGACATCGCAATGGTAACCTTTTCACTCTGCTCTCTGTTTACAAGGAATTGGAGGGTGTGCCCCCAGAGAAGAGAAGTAACTGGTGTTGGGAAAATAGCATAAATGCCAAATCCATGCGGAGATGACATGATATGGTCCAAGAACTGGGTAATTGAGGTGCAATTTTGACACACAAGGGTGACCTTTTCACTCTGCTCTCTGTTTACAAGGAATGGGAGGGTGTGCCTCTAGAGACGAGAAGTGGTGTTGGGAAAATAGCATAAATGACAAATCCATGCGGAGATGCCAAGATATGGTCCAAGAACTGGATACCAATCTAAAAAATGAACTTAACTATATTATACCAAGTTATTGGCTATTTGGCTTTGGAAGCCATAGGTGCCTACTTTCTACTAAACATGACCAATATTTGAAAAATATTATACTCTCTTCCAGTGGCGAAGCCACATAGGGTCCAGGGGGGCAGCTGCCCCCACTGACTTTCTTGTTATTTTCATTTTGCATATAAATTTTTAGTTAATTATATTAATGCCCCCACTGAATTCCTATACATTTTTTTTAAAAGATCTCTTTTACCAAACTCAAAGTTCAAAAAGAGTACATTTTCTCTTATACTGGCCAACAATTTTTTATTTTTTTATTAAAAAAATTAACATCATTTACCCATTCCACTCTTCTTCTCTCTCATCCACACACACACACAGATTTTACTTCTATTTTAGAATGAAATATGTGAATTATCATGTAATTCTGATGCTATGTTGGATTAAGTTAACAATGTTATTTCATTATTCATCCATTGAACTCAATTTTTAAACCATAATGGAAAAATATATATTGATATCAATATTTTAACTTTTATATTTATTATTTTATTATATTATTGTTGTTGGAAATCATATCTATAAGTTGACTCAATGATTATGGCAGATTTATTGGGTCTTCATTATAGGCTAATGTTTAGGGATTTTATTTTTATTCTGATTTGATTTTATTTTCTTTTCCATATTTGTAATTTTTCTCTTGTATATAATGATAGTCAGGCTCTCAAATTGAGTACACCAATTTTACCAAGTTATTTTTTGGTATCAGAGCCTCAAACCTACGCCTCCCCCCCCTCTCTCTCTTTCACGTCTCTTTTGATCTCTCTCTCTATCTCGTCACAGCCCCTTCCCTATTTCTTTTTCCCTTTTCTTCACAGACACTCTCTCTTCTTCAGGCCGTTGTTGCGATAGTCCTAGGGGGAGCCAATCTCCTTTAGATTCGACCCGTGTAGGGGTATTTCCTTAGTCTTTTTCATGCACCAAGGGTCAGAAGACGTGTTTGTAATTTTTTGGGGCTACCGGGATATTCGGCAGCATTTTCGGATTAGACCGCCGTGTCTCCGGCTTCTTGGTTTGATCAAAATCAGGTTTATTCCTCCTTTATTTGAAATTATTGGTGATCTATTGAATTGTTCTATTTAATATTATGGTTGAATCAAGTAATAATAAAGAAACTCTCTTTTCGGCACAACACACACCGGCTCAACGAGTTACTAGTGGGATGTTGAATGGCTGTGATTTTGCATCCTGGGCTCGATCCCTCCACTTCTTTGTTGGTGGAAAAGGCAAATCATAGTGGATTTTGGGTACTGAAAAGATGCCAGATATTAAAGATCCTAAATATGCTCAGTGGGATATGGACAATTGCACCATTTTAGGATGGATGTCTAATTCTATGGAGTAACGCATTTATAATATATTCATATTTTATAACTCTGTTAAT